TCACAATGTAATAAACGACAGTACTTGCAACCTGTGCAGTCGCACGAAGAGGCATGGTTAGGGACAGAAAAAGTTTGGATTTAGAAGTACGATTGACATTACCAAATGGCAAAGTTAAAGGCAGATAGATTTTTTCTCTGTTATTTACACTAATAAGCGGGAGGGCAAGAACGCCTTTCTAATTGTTATTTGAAATTAAATTTTACAATTTACTTTACTTTTGCTTTTAATTTACTTTCTACAGCATTCAGTACGTGAAACCGTCAATAATAATATAATAATGATAATAAAAATGGTATCACACAACTAAAAGTATATACTACTTCGTAAATTTCGATAAATTAATTACTGAAAATATTAAGCATATCAATGGCAGCGTTGGACCTAATAGTTTTAAGTTGCATTTCAACATTTGAAAGAACGCGAATTACATTGCTATTTTCACCACACAAACGAATGGAATATTTCAGAAAAGAATTCTCCCCCGTTATTACAATATTTCAATAATTTTCGCAAATTAAAAAATTTATTTAATACGTTTTAATAATAAATGAAGCGATTTTCACTCATATAATCCCTTTGTACATTACTATCTTTCATTTCAGAACCACTGCATAACTTTTCTAAGACATAAATAGCTTCCGTTAATATATGTTCCCATACATTATATTTATTTTTTTATATTTTTGTCTTTAATAAATTAATGATAGATAGATAAAAAAATTGATACTGCTTAATTTATAAGCAGCGTAAAAACTGGAAATCTGAGGTCATTAATTTCCGAGACATTAATAGTTTTTCAAGATGCAAATAAAGCAGATAACAATAATCATAAATATTAATGCTCCTAAAATATATCCGCATTTCCTAACTGATTTTTGCTTTTTGATCCACCACAAACCTATTTTCATTAAATGAAGTTTTGCGCATTTCTCTGCAAAGTACGCAAAACTTGTTTCATACAACTTTATTTTAACTAAACGTTATACTTGTTTAGGGAAGTATAAAACAAGTATTTATGTGTACTACTTTTAAAATCCATGTGACAGAGTGTGAGTTCTCATCTTGAAATATACGTTGTGTCGATGAGCTTAACTACAAATTATTAAACATTTCTGGCAAAATGCCAAAAATTAAAAACAAAATTTTTTATTTTTTAAACACGTCCTGCGCTGTATCTGCAGGATCTATCAATCAATCAATCGACTCGACAATCAAAAATCAATCGACTTGAATGGAGCTCACCAACATGTAAAAAGCGTTTCTATTAATATGCAAGATATGAGAAAGAAGTTTGAAGACATTATGAAAGAAGCAGAGTTTTGAATATACAATTCTTGTATATTCACAAAAATACAAATATACAAATTTATATACAAATTTTATATTCAAATTTTTGTAAATAAAATAAATGGGACATAGAAACTAAATTTGAAAAATAGAAGAAAATAAAAACAAGAAAATATTGATGAGTTATGTGAGGATAACAGGCTTGAAAATTCCGAAATGTCTTTTAAAGTAACAGTTTTTTTATGCTGCTCTCGACATTTTAAATACTCAGTTAAAATACAGAATGACTGGAATAACAAAAATCGCAATGATGTTTTCATTTTTGGAATTTAAATTTCTGTATTTGTCATTGTTAACAAATACGGAAATTATTAATAACTAGGGGGCTAAAGCCCGCTTTTAATTGTTGACGTGTATAAGAGCTCCTATGTTAAATATCACCGTTATGCCATAGTTGGACCGAACTACCAGGGTTCAGCGGTTTTGCGCGGGTTCCCCCTGCTTTATTCCCGTGCGCATCCAGAAGATACTGCATACACGTCACACACATGCGTAAAATCACGAAAACACCTAAGCAGGCAGCCCGCTCGCCGGGATTCGAACTTTGGACCGAACTACCTGTGTTCAGCGGATTTGCGCGGTCTGCGCCCGCTTTATTCACTTGTGCATCCAGAAGATACTGCATTCCCAATACACATGCGGAAAATCACTGAAACACATATAGAGTCAGCCTGTTGGCCGGGATTCAAAAGTTGGACCGAACTACCAGCGTTTTTAACGGTTTTGACCGGGTTACGCCTGCTTTATTCACGTATTCATCCAGAAGATACTCCGCACACAATACACATGCGTAAAATCACGAAAACACCCATGCAGCCAACCCGCTAGCCGGTATTCGTAAGTTGGACCGAATAACCAGCGTTCAACGGTTTTTCGCGGGATTCATCCGCTTTATTCACCTATGCATCCAGAAGATACTGCATACACGGTACACATACGTAAAATCACCCAAACACCCATGGACCCAGCCTGTTTTCCGGGATTCGAAAGTTGGACCGAACTACCAGCGTTAAACGGTTTTGCGCGAGCTGCACCCGCTTTATTCACGTATGCATCCAGAAGATACTGCAAACATCATACACATGCGGAAAATCAAGAAAACACGCATTCAGCCAGCCCGTTAGCCGGGATTTGAACGTTGGACCGAATTACCAGTGTTCAGCGGTATAATATATGCATCCACAACATACTTCATAAACGTTACACATGCGGAAAATCACGAATATTTGTCATTGTTAACAAATACGGAAATTATTAATAATGTTTCAAAAATACAGAAAAAAATATAAAGAAGACTTTGCTAATGTACTGGAAGTACAACTTTTATTATTTATAAATACTTTCAGAACAGATATCCAAAATTTGAAATCCGTTAAGGATTTAGCTAAATTAGCAATGGTAAAATACTATGACATGACAAGCAGTTAATCGGGAGTGCAATTAACTTATATTGTATTTATCATTCATTATCTGTAACCAAAGCCACGAGCGAGAGGTCATTTTCAATAATAAAAACATATTTAAGAAACACTATGATACAAGATCGGTTGTTAAACCTATCACTATTGAGCGTTGAAGTTGACTTGGCTGTGAAAATGGACGTCCAGGTATTGATAAATAATTTTGCGGAAATGAAGGTTAGGAGACGCAAATTTTAATAAAAAAGATTTTTGTCTTTATGATGAATTTCGGTCACCAGTGTTATAATTACACTTATTGAGGGGGGGGGGGGGAATTAGAGAAGAACAGCAGTACGGGCTGAGGGAAAATTAAAAAGAAACAGGAAAAATCTTTAGCATTCATGTTTTTTTATAAAAATGTATTCAAGTAGTTAAGTGTACCAAAAGGATTTTTAAAAGGACAGCAAAAATATTACATATTTTCTACTAAAATTGTATATTCAAATAGTTTTCTTTATGAAGTTTATGATAAATATGTTTTATATTTAACAAATGTACTTGTATATTATTGCATAAATTATGTTCGTAAGTTGAGTAAAATCACAGAGTACTATCTATTGATGTAATATTTTTTCTGTACGTTTATCAATTATCTTGTCTGTCAATATCAATTATCTATCACTCACATAAAAAGTCTTAAATTACAGAATTAAAATCATCTGACGTCAAATACCCAGACTAAAGCAAATTTGCATTTCACCAGTTAGCAAAGGGGAAATATTTTCCTTTTTATTCTTTCTTCATATTACATAACTTTCAAATGGTTCCCTGAGAACGTGCTTTTATTTTTTAACAATTAATCCAGATGTGATAAAAATCATGAAAACATTGGCTCCAGGAATCCTTGATTTTTTTTTTTTTTTTTTTTACTTTTCACGTTTTTTTCTTTAGTTTAATTTTTATTTTTAAGCACATTAAATTTATTGGTTTAGGGACCCAGGAAATTATTTTGCATACGGGACCAAGAATTCTAGTTACACCACTGTCTATAATGTATATATGCGTAGCTAGTATATGTGTAATGAGATGAACTACCAGTGCTACATACTTTACCGCCAGGCCGCTGCTGAACCCTTCATTAATTAATGACATAATCACACAAAGCCACGCATTTACACACAACTCCTGAACATAACAAGCAACCAGCGCATTAGCGGGATTCGAACTTCGGACAGAACTACCAGTGCTCACACACTTTACCGCCAGGCCGCTGCTGAAATCTTCATTAATTAATTACATAATCACACAAAGCCATGCATTTACACACAACTCGTGAACATAACAAGCAACCGGCGCATTAGCGGGATTCGAACTTCGGACAGAACTACCAGTGCTCACACACTTTACCGCCAGGCCGCTGCTGAAATCTTCATTAATTAATTACATAATCACACAAAGCCACGCATTTACACACAACTCGTGAACATAACAAGCAACCGGCGCATTAGCGGGATTCGAACTTCGGACAGAACTACCAGTGCTCACACACTTTACCGCCAGGCCGCTGCTGAAATCTTCATTAATTAATTACATAATCACACAAAGCCACGCATTTACACACAACTCGTGAACATAACAAGCAACCGGCGCATTAGCGGGATTCGAACTTCGGACAGAACTACCAGTGCTCACACACTTTACCGCCAGGCCGCTGCTGAAATCTTCATTAATTAATTACATAATCACACAAAGCCACGCATTTACACACAACTCGTGAACATAACAACCAACCCAATTATTCTACACTTATATAATAATTCTATAATTATTCACATTATTTAAGTGATATGATTCATTAGTGTAATTGTACTGGCTCGTATACACACGAGGAAAACCACGAAATTTCCAATGCAGCCAGGGCAATATGAAAGACAAAAAAATGTAACAAATAACCAACAATTAAAGGTTACCAATAATAGTGTACAACAGAGATGTATACCTCTCGCCAACTGAAAACAATTGTTAAATTCAATGGAAATGAATTTTCAAAATCAACAGACATGCGGTCTTTAAATTTTGTACATCCGAACTGTCTTCTCTCTTAAGCAGCAATATGACAAAACATTTAAAAGAAGAGCATATCTTTAGAATTTCCGATAGACAGTCTTGCGCCGAACAGTGTTGCCATTGCTCGCTTAGAAATCGTCGAGTTTCTTAATCAAAAACACATAAATGCTTTACAAAATGTTAAATAGTTAATAAAACAAATTACAAATTTGAGCTTTCAGATGCCCATATTCGGGTGGTGACGTACATATTCAAAATTTCATAGCTGTAGGTACCGTTGTTTTATCACAGTATCTGCATAAATGTTATGTACGTTAAACATACGTATATTTATGCTGATTCTTTATTATTAAATATCTTTAAATATAACACACAGCGATAATATTCGGTAGAAACAGTTCAACGCAAAATGCGAAAACGAAATTAATAGCCCTTCTGGGCTAACGCGCTTTGGGATAAAAACGCAAAAATAGAACATAACAGCTTTCATTGTCAGTGCTTTAAAAAAAAAAAAAAAAAAAAAAAAAATCGATAGGCCTTATTTAATTTAATAAAATCGAAAAGTTGAGCAAGTTGCATATTTTTGAGAGGATAAATATGCCACGAAACCTTCAAAATCATTTTTTAGTTCATCACGCACGCATATCTGCACACAAAAATAACAATACCTATTATTCTTCTGCATCTCTGTTTAAAAATGTTTTAAAAAAACATATGTACCGAAAAACATTTATTTGTAAAGTAAAATATTTTTTTTTTCGAAAATATTTTAAATAAATTTAAAAAAGAAGATTTTTCGCGATCATATTTTGCCGCGGTTAAGCCCGTGCAGCTGTCTGTCTGTCTGTCAGGTACTGAAAAAAATCAGTACCTCGGTACTTACGTGAAAACGTGGTTTGGACTTTGCCAAAGCTAAGTTTACTTTTAATCTATTTTCATCCATTACATTTTTTAATATTATTTTTCACTTGAAATTTGTTTTAATACTTTGTTTTCATAGATACATATCATTACTATTATTTTTATTTTCCTTTTTTTTTTTTTTTTTTTTTTTTTTTTGTAACAGTACTTTCTAGTTTGAACTTTTCACTTCTCTATCTTCCTATAATGAACTAATATTGTTTAATTAAACTTATAATTACTTTTCATCTTTATTAAACTTTTTTATTTCTGATAGTTTTGACTTTTGCATAATTGCCAAGTTTCTGAAATTTCTAACAATAAATTTCATTAAACTATTTCTGTCACTGTACTGACTTTTTTGAATATGGCTTCTTTGCATGAAAAACTGAAATATTTCTGTTTAATTACTGACATGCATTTAATTAATACAGAGGCAGCTGCACTCGAGTTTGCCACCGATGCTGGACTTCTTCCCAGAGAGGATGAGGCACCACCTTGCCCCAAGTGCCAGGCACCGATGAGAAGCAACAAGAGAAAGGAATCAAAGCTGGGATGGCGTTGGGTCTGCAGCCTGAGAAATCGCAACAACTGCTCTGGCATGATTAACCCCATTGAAAACACATTTTTTGAAGGTACAAAAATCCCAATAAGGGAAGCTTTAGTCATAACTGTGTACTTTGTTCTAGATCACAGTTTCAGCTACATAAATCAGCAGCTAAAGCTATGGAGGGAAAAGCAAAAATTACCAGTAATTGCAAATGAGACTATTGTTGACTTTTTATCATATTGTCGTGAGGTATGCGAAATTTTTGCCTCTCATCATAGCAGAATGTTAGGTGGTAAAGGAAAATCTATATTAATTGATGAAACATTTTTGACCCGCCGCAAGTACAACCGCGGCAGGGTAACCAAAAATATGACCATCGTAGTTTTAGGCATCTACTGTCGAGAAGACAAAGAAGGATTATTTTTCAAGGTTAAAGGAAAAAGCAAAAGGCATTTGTGGCCTTACATTAAACGTCATGTTCACCCAGAAACCACCTTCATATACACTGACTCTGCTCCACAATATAAAAGGATAGAAAATTTATTTCCGGCAGCAACACATAAAACTACCAATCACAAGAAAGGTAAATATGTGTCTTTTTTTTTAATGAGTGACATTTTTTTTTTTTCATCCTTAACATTCATTAATCCTTTATTTACAGGCGTATTCGTAGATCCCGATGATAAACAGAACACTATAAATGATCTTGAGGGTGAAAACAAACTTTTTAAGAGGTCTATAAAGAGCAAGAGAACAGATGATATTTGCACGCAGTACATGGCTGTACATTATTACAGGCGGTTCCGCTTGAAGCCCTTTACTTATGATGGAGAAAGACTTGCTCAGTTTCTACAGGACATTAAAGCTGTGTATCCAGGCCATGGAAAAGTCGGCCTTGAACTTAAAATGTTGGACGAACCAACATCAGAAAGCGAAGGAATTGAGGACCTGATGCCTCCAAAGAAATCAGCCCGACAAGATGATGATATACCATTCATTCAGGAAGATGATGATAAATGGGGTAAAACCAACAAATATAACTTTATTTTTGACATAATTTATTTATTTACATATATATATACATACAAAAATTGCATTTAAATATTAAATTACATACCATTATAATCTATGTGCTTATTTTTCAGAGTAAGGGAACACAGACCAAGTTTTAAAACTGGAATAAATGATAAGAAAAGCATACAAGTAAATTGTTTACTATAATTTGTGTAAATGTTCAGATGGTCCACAAATTTTGATTTAATACCTTTTTGTTTTTCACTACATGAAATTGTTATTTTTTATTTCCTTTTAGAATTCAACCAAAAAACAGAGCCCAGAAAACAAAAGGATGGAAATGTTGCGAAAATGTTGCATATCTTTTACAGAAAGAGGTAAATGTGTATTTCAGTTATTCTCAACTTTTATTTTGACGTGAGAGCTATTCTTTATATATTTTGTTATTCCTTCATTAAAATAAACTTTCTTTCACAGCTGCAGATCCAAAATGTCATGAAATACTATGACAGAGGTAAGACAAAATTTTAACCATTCACAGCTTATGTTTCAAATTAGTGCTTCACTTTATTTTAATACTACTCCTTCAGTAAAAGCAACTGTAAAATTTATTTAGTTATTATTAGTATAAGTTTACCTACTTATTTTTCAGTAAAAAAAACTTTATTGCAAATTAGGTAATCCAAAAAAATAAATAAAAGAAAGAAGAAAACTAATTTTGACAGATAAATTGACAAACATAGAGGTGAGTTGATTAATTTAAAGGTTTCCAGCCTACTTCTTACCAGAAAACATTTTATTGTTAAGGATAATTTATCACCCCTTTCAGGTAAAGAATATTGCAGAAATGAGAAATGAATCATGGAAAGAAATGAATCTTCAGTCAGAAAATATACAGGTGAATTCATTACTTTTAATGTTTCCAGCCTGTTTATTTTAATTATGTATTTTCATACTACGTTTATTATTTTAATTTTACCGTTTATTTATTATTTTAAATATAAGGATTCAATCTTACATTATTAACTTCTTAAACTTGCCACCCTTTTGTGGTAATTGTGTATTTTTGTACTATGTTCAATTATTATTTTCTAGTTAAAAAGAGTATGTAGTTAACAAAAGATTAAAACTAAACAACAGAAAGAACACTTTTAGAAAAAATATTAAAACATTTAATAAAAGTGTTTATATATACGCTAACTTATGTTTTCATTATCGTAACCTTGTTTAGTTATCTTGTATTATGAATATGCATAATATGGATATTTTGTTTAGGGACTTCAAAAATAACATTTTGCTGCCACTTAGACGAGGGAAGAAGCAGATGGAGAAATCAACTCGGATGACAAACCCAGTACCTGGGGGTATAGCCAGGTTTTTCTTTCAAGAAACACATCCGAGTTGAAACGACTGATGCGGGCCACACCTGAAAGCGAAGGAACTGAGCAACTGCTGCCACCGCAGGAAATCTCGACGATCATGAAATTTAAAATCTTGTTTACTTATCTTGTATTTTGAATATGCATAATATGGATATTTTGTTTAGGGACTTCAAAAATAACATTTTGCTGCCACTTAGACGAGGGAAGAAGCAGATGGAGAAATCAACTCGGATGACAAACCCAGTACCTGGGGGTATAGCCAGGTTTTTCTTTCAAGAAACACATCCGAGTTGAAACGACTGATGCGGGCCACACCTGAAAGCGAAGGAACTGAGCAACTGCTGCCACCGCAGGAAATCTCGACGATCATGAAATTTAAAATCTTGTTTACTTATCTTGTATTTTGAATATGCATAATATGGATATTTTGTTTAGGGACTTCAAAAATAACATTTTGCTGCCACTTAGACGAGGGAAGAAGCAGATGGAGAAATCAACTCGGATGACAAACCCAGTACCTGGGGGTATAGCCAGGTTTTTCTTTCAAGAAACACATCCGAGTTGAAACGACTGATGCGGGCCACACCTGAAAGCGAAGGAACTGAGCAACTGCTGCCACCACAGGAAATCTCGACGATCATGAAATTTAAAATCTTGTTTATTTATCTTCGTATTCTGAACATATATAACATGGATATTTTCTCTACAAAAAACTCCAAATAGTGAACTGCCAAGTAATACTGCTGAAAAACTGCAAAATGTGGTGCTGAATGGTAAGTAATATAAAATATATGTGTACACATTAAAATTAGAGGATTATGGCTCCTGGCGAAACCTCGTAAAAAAAAACGCATCAGGATTCCTACCTCCTAGTCTTACACGTACTAGCTTAAAAATTGGGATTATTTGTAACTATTTTGTTTCACTAATATCATTAATCACATTTCTTACTGTTTCTATTTTTTTTATCAAATTTAGATTTAATTAAAAATCACTTTAACCTGCATGTAACGTCAAGTAATGTGAAAATAGATAGTGCCTATTTTTTAAACGAAATTATATGATAATACCCGCATAAATATTTTTTATAAATAATTGATTTAAATATAATTATAAAAACTCTAATTTACAAAATTTGGTAATGCTTCAATTAAAATGAATAGTCAAAAAGCAGAAGAAAAGATTTTTCTTTTTTTAAGTACGTGTAAGTCTTAAGGTGATGTGGAAATGGAATCATTTCTAATTTCAAAATGCAAAATGCTTGTAAAAATTGTTCTTTTTCAGATCTGATGAACAGGCCTCGATCTATAAGAGTGGAGTTCAGTGAAACGAAGTATTGGATTTTAACAAGGAATGAATCTATAACAGTTTTTCTTGTGAAAAAATGAAATTTTATAAGTTATCAGCAGAGTCATAGTTACTGTTTTCAGCGCCCAGGGGAAACTGAAGATTTTGTGCCCCTCCCGACTACTGGCCAAAAATGGAAAACATTCAACTCTAAAAATTCGTAACATCATTTTGGCTTCCCTTGGATGATGTGCCCACGGACATATGCCCCCTTTCTAGCCCTGGTTATCATATACACAGTTTCTTGTGAACTTGTTGACTGTGAGAACCTGGATACATATTTTCTTGCAAAACTGTGAGAAACTAGATAAAAATTTTCTTGTGAAAAGATGAAACTGTGAGAACCTGGATAAAAATATTCTTGTGAAAAGGTGAAACTGTGAGAACCTGGATAAAAATTTTCTTGTGAAAAAGTGAAATTTTTATATAAATATAAATAACATAATTTAAGAAGACAAAGATTGTACAAGCAATGTCATCTAGGGGTAAGTACCTTCATTTTGCAATATATGTTTACATTGATAAATTAAAAAATATGAAATTCTAGCATATTGAAACATAAGTTAAGAAATATTTGTTTAAATTTATTAATTAAAAAAGGTGAAATTCTTACATATTGAAACAAAAGTTAAGAAATATATGTTTAAATTGATTAATTAAAAGAGTTGAAATTCTTGCATATTGAAAAATAAGTTAAGAAATGTATGTTTAAATTGATTAATTAAAAAAAAGTTGAAATTCTAACACAGGGAAAAATAGAAAATATATGTTCAAATTGATTAATTAAAAAAAAAAATGAGTGCTATATACTGAAAAATAAGTTTCTTAAAAAGAACTTAGCATATATTACAAATACCTTAATAAATGTTCTAATTTTTCATTTCTCATCCATATATATCATGTTTAACTATCATACACTTACCTGCATAACATAATTAATTTAAATGCCAAATAATATAATGCCGAAATTACATGCAAGTCAAATTTTTAGGTTGGAAGCTTTCTTTTAAATCGATTGTTTACAGTTTGAGCGTAAGTACTTCTTCGCCCTATAGCGTTTCATGCAAAACATTTCACTCGTTAAAGTACACGTTAATTAAAATTTCTTGTTCTATTACTTTAGACTGAATTACAATTAGTAAGTTATCATATCATGCTTAGTAATATAACATTAACTATGTTGTACAACATTGAAGAAATAGGGAATGTCAGGCGTCATCATGTCAACATGAACAAGGGTAAGTTCAATTTTTCCTTTTGGCAGTTCAGAATTGTTTTCCCTGTCCACTTCCCTCGGATAGGGAAAACAATATTTGGCCGCCATCTTGGATTTCGAAATGCGCTTTTTGGCGCATTTCTGAAATCCAAGATGGCGGCCAAAAACTCGCCAAATTCAGCCAAGAGCCGGGTAACCGAAAAAGAAAGATGATTTTCCCGAAAATCGTAAAAAAATGAAGTCAGAGTTCCCAAAAAATCGCCAAGACCATAATCGAAAGATTAACCTGACTTAATTATTTTTGCCAGCTGTTTTTGGTCTCAGTATTTGTACTGTACTCTAAGATTATTACATTTTGACCTTTTCTGTGAATTCCTTCAACTCTTTCAGGAAAACGCTGTATAACGCTTGTATAACTTGACAATCTCAGAACCTTAAAAACAAGCACATTATTAATACCAAGAAAATTAAAAATTAATATTGATAAAAATTACCTTTCTCCAGTTCCGTACAGTCATTGGCACTACTGCCATTGTCATTATCATGCAAATCATCATCTGCATTCGGTAAGGTTTTTATTTTTTTATCATTATCATCCTTACATATAAGTTCTGAACTAACGTCTGGTAAACTGAGAACAAAATCATCAACATCAGAGCAATCTAAAATAGAATGTCCCTCTGTGAAACATCCGAAGCAGTACTTGATAACTTTAAAATTATATAATGGATTACTGATATTATCAGGAATTTCAATTTTAGTTTGATCTGTTGGAAGTACGAAATCAATTTCCCGCTTACTACTTAACACATGAGCATATTTAGATGAGTTCGGAAGCAAGTAAATTTTACGAATTGTATATATACGACCAAAACATTCAAATATTTCTCTAAGGATATCATCTGTAACATGAGGATAAACACCGTCTATGATGTAGCAGTCCAACAGAAATACGGCTCTCGTGACATACTGACATATAACAAGCTCTTTTTTAATTAAAAGACAAACTGATTCGATGTCAGCTACAAACACCAGATAACACTGAACATGGAGATCAAACATAACACTTTTTATCTTTTTAGGATGTATGTACTTTGATATAGCTTTCACTATTTCTGCAGCGGATATTTTAGAAGGATCCAGTTCTGGGAGTTTTACTACTGCTCTTTTAAAAGTAAAATCGTCTGTTACATCCGGTGAATCATCGGGAGATTCTTGGCTAACGTTCATCATTTATTTTTTTCACACACACACAGGAAATTTTAGGCGAACTGTCAACTTTCAATGTTTGTATGTACACAAGTAAAAAATCAATATAAAACTAATCACATTTCGGTAAACTGGAGACAACAGGCCAACATTATTTTACACAAAACTCTGATTAAAATCACAACAGAACTAATAAAGTCTTTTAAAATCTAGATCATCTTTTTTTTTTAAAAAAAAGAAAAAGAAAAAAAGGTTCACCAGTTAACGATGCTTGGGACTCATTGCTCGCAGAAGATCTTGAGTTGGCGCTAAATAACAGGCGTCTCAAGACCAGAAGAATTAAATGCTTATCTTCACTGTCATTGGCTGTATACCACGTGACACTCCCGAAACGTCTGCTTCTACGCTACGAGAGTCGACAGCAAGTTGTGGGCCGCCAGATGTCGCTGCTAGTAAAAAACAGGTCTGCCCGACACCCTATATTCTCTGAGTACGGAAGTTGTCGAAAGCGCGTGAAAAAGTGTTGCCGCGTCGTCAATCAGGGTTGTGCAGTTGACGTACTAAGTAGACAATGGCTTTGTATGTGTTTTCGCTGCTGATTTTTTCATATTTAAACGAAGAATACGGTCGTAGATCTCTGAAACGGTGGCGAATTTATAGAAAATATATTAATGCTTTTGCTCTGCCAAAACTTGTTTTCATTGCGTATTTCAGATTGCCAAAATTTGTAGTTATTTTAATTTGCGATGAACTGAGAAAGTATTTGAAGCCACATTCAGAAAGCAAGAACGCAATTTCTACTGAAGGAAAGGTTATACTATTCCTGAAATTATAGATATAAATTGTAATTGTATGCTTTAAAAATGTAGAAGATAATAAGTTTATCAAGCACATAAACCTTCTTCATTTAATACAAAACTAGACCTCCGATAAGCTTCTACTCGATTTATGTACAGCAAGAATTACGTTTACTTTAAAATCTAACAGTTGAATACTTACGAATAAATACTGCGAACACAAAAAAGGAATGTCGTTCATTATTACGCGAAATTCACACTACTGTAAAATAAAATTAAAAAATTTATAAAAACTATAAAATAGCTTTATAATATCTTTTTCAGTAACTGTACTACTACTAGTGTGATACTTTTTAAAAATAAGTTTTAGGCCAGAAGGGCTATTAATTTCGTTTTGCCATTTTGTGGCGTTTCACTTTTCAAATCGTTGCCACCAGGTATTACTCTATATATTTAAAGAAATTAAATAATGAGGAATCTGCAGAATGTATGAATGTTTCTCGCACTGTGATAAAACAACGGTACCTAGAGCCATTGAAATTATGAATAACGTAATCGTCTCCATCCAGAATATAGGATATCTGGAGGCCCAAAAGTTGGAACTAGAGAATTTGTTTCATTATCTATTTCCGTATTTTGTAAAGCATTTATGAAGTTTTTGATTAAGAAACCCAAAGATTTCAAAGCGAAGCAATGGCAACATTGTAAGGAAAAAAAAACATTTTCATCTCTAGCGCGGGAGATTGTGTAATCGGAAATTCTAAAGATATGGTTTTTTTTATATTTATATGATATTGCTGTTGAATGAATTTTATGGTTTAAGTGCGAAAAACATGATATTTAATAAAATAAAGATAACACGCAAAACGTTAAAAAAAAATGGCCCTTTGGAAGTAATATAAAATCTGAAGGCTTTCAGATTTTTTTCATTTATTTATTTATTTATTTTTATTGTGTGTGTGTGTAATTTTATTACGTTTTAAAACTGGTTTCTAAGGGAAACTGGCTCGTATATAAGTTACACATGTGGGAAAGCCACGAAAACGCCGGCCAGCTCGTTCCCGGGATTCAAACCTCGGACCAAACTACCTGCGTTCAGCGACTCTACCGCTCGGCGGCTGGTGGGCTTGTTAGCAGAATTATACTGCATTATTATTGTATTATGCTATAAAGTAACAATGCTATAAGACTGAGGGTTTGTTCATGGAATAGTACTTTTGTAACCTATTATAGTATTAAAAAATCACTGTTTCTTTTCAAATTAAAAAAAATACTGTTCATAGCATTCTCATTTTTATATTGTAAAAGAGATATTGATTATTATTAGTTTTCTATTTAAAATGTGTCGAAACTCTGGTTTGACAAGGACTTCAAATGCAGGAGACCTACACTGATTATTTTTACTTTAGTATTTGCACTGTGAAAATATTACTATCTTTTAATTATTTTCACAGAATAAAATCTTTTGAGAATGAAGAATATTTAAATGAGCATTTCTTATATATAAAAAATTCAATAATAGCAATGTATATTAAAAAAAAGTATTAGTAACTGTGTGACAAAAAAATTGCAAAATGAATTAATCACACATACAGGATAGATTAGTTTAATTTGGTTATATATTTATATTTAAAAAATATTTTTTTCATGTAATTATAGAATAAATTATTTAAAATAAAGCATTTTGATGCGTGTGTGATAGTTGAATGCAGCAGCAATCGGTCCATACTGTAAAGCGAACGAATTTTTTTTTTCCTGAAAGAAATAATTTTCATAGAAAAAGAAAATAAAAAAACGGGAAGAAATATTTTCTTTCTAATTTCTTATTTAAAGAAATATTTTCCATAGTAACTGTAAAAAAATTGCGGGAAACAGTTTTAATGTAGCATGAAAAAAAAAAAAAAAAAAAAAAAAACCTTAGTTTGCTATTAGATTGTAATGCAAATTAATCATATTTTAAATTTAAATGATTAAAATTGTTTATTTCTAAAAGGTTTTGAAGTAAGCTTAATTCATTTACTTTTATCTATTTACCATTGCTTTCGTGGTAGCCCATATCGCTCTTTATTTCTTAGCTCTAAATTCCTGCGTTAAATTTCCCCTTAAAAAACGGAATTTTCCTTCACATAACGCAGCAGATACTGTTTTGTGCAATTTTTTTCGAACTACAAATGCAGCTTGTGAGTTAGTGAAATAATGGGAGAATATTCCTAGAACTTCAGCCAGCGCGCGCTATAAATTTCGTCACTCGTCTGTACTGCGATTGGTCTAAAGCCTGAAGCCTTGTCCCCTTTCAGTAAAGTTAAGTGGACCACCGCCCACCACTGAGGACCACAGATGGCTTTCTCCGATAAGTTGTGATGGCTGTCTATACCGGGTTTTTTTTTGAGTCAATATTGTTCGCTCAAGTTGTAGACAGATCCAGTGATCATAGAATAGAGCCCCAGGTCAGGTCGTAACATTAGCCTTCAAGTACCGTACTAATGAAAGTACATTACTCGACCGGTTTATAGATATCCATTTAAGGCTTTGAAGAATGGTGGAGTATTTATCCATATTGGGCATATATGAGTAAAAAGGTGAAAAAAATTTTTGTGTTGACAATTGACGGAAAAGTAAGTGGAGGTGGCACCATCTAGATGCGAGAGAGTGAATCATAGGAGGATGTTTATCATCCAGTCGTAGTGTTGATCACGTGGGCCTATCCCATGATGTTAATTGGTCAAGGAAAAAGAGCTGTAGTATTCATATTTTGCGCATTTTTTAAATAATAAAAGCCTATATACAGGTACAGATGCATTTTAGATGACTAATGTAGAGCAAAATACTTGAAATAAATAATAGTATTGTTAACTGATGCATAATAGATAAAAAAGAAATAAATAACTTGAATATATAGGTGTGTCCTCCTGGACTAATAGTGATGCTTGTAACATAGGAAAATTTTCTTGATTAAATAGGTGGTTTAACTAATGCTTCTAAGTTCAAAAGTTCAAGTTCATAAGTTGAAGCAAAAGTTAATCTGGGTAATACAATTAAAATGAATATTTACAGATGAATATATACAACTCTACCAACGTACATTATGATGGATGGTATGTGGTCGTTTATAAGGTTGATCTATTGTAAAATTGTAGTTTCCTATATTTTGAATAATAGTAGAAGGATGAGTAGCAAGGTTTTCATAGAATTTATGTACAGATTTAAGGATCTCTTCATCTATTGTAGTAATTTTGAGGTCATGGTGGAGAACAGAATTTCGGACGAACCAAGGTGCTCCAGTTATGATTCTGAGAATTTTATTTTGTAATACTTGAAGGGGTTTTCTATTATTCTTGGCAGCAGCCGCCCAAACTGGGGAGCCATACAACATAACAGGACGAATAAGTTGAAGATAAATAATACGTTTGGTTTGTAGACTAATTTTAGAATGCTTATTTATAATGGCGTAAACACTTATATATGCTTTTCTGGTATTTTCGCAGATACAGGAGAGATGTTCTTTGAAGTTTATGATGTTATTATCTTGCGCATATTGATAAAGCCTCTTTTGAATAATTTTCTCAAAAATTTTGGAGATTGAAGGAAGTAGAGATATTGGTCTGTAGCTGGCAGTATATTTACTTTTTTTTCCTGGTTTTTTAATAACAATAATTGTTGCAATCTTCCAGGCCTGTGGTATGTAATTATTTCTCAGACATGCATTGAAGAGATTAACAAGATAAATAACTGCTTTTTTAGGTAGGTTTTTTTTATGGCATTATTGGTAATATTATCATAGCCACAGGCATTCTTTGGATCCAGAGATTTGATGATTTGATTGACTTCAGTGGGACTGGTAGGGGTATTGGCTTTACTCCTATTGGAATGAATGAAATTTTTGACATGTTCTTCAATATTAATATCAGAAGGGTGTGGGAGGTTGTTTATCTGAAATTGCTCCTCAAAGGCATCAGCAAAGGCATTTGCAATATCAGCAGGATGGTAAATAGATTTGTTGTTGTGCTCTATAGGCCCTATTTTATTATTGGGATTTCTGAGTTTTCTGGCAAGTTTCCATACAGAATGGTCAGTATGAGAAAGATTTTCTACATAACTGTTCCATCTGTCTTGCTTGTGATCAGCACAGAGCTTCTGGACACGATAATAGGCGCGTTTATAATTAATATTGTCTCTGGGATCTCTGGTTCTCTGCCATATTTTCCTGAGCCTATTTTTAGTCTTAATTTCCTCTTTAATGTAATGAGGAAGCGAATAATCTTTTTTCTCAGTATTTAAAGTAGCTTTATTTATGGCTTCAATGATTTTCGTATTCAATTTTTCTGTGGCTTCTTCAATTAAGCTGGTGTCCCGAAACGTTTCAGACAAGATCAGTAAAATACTTTCTTATAAGGTTGGCGTATTTTTAAAGCGATAGCTACTGCGCATGCTCTATGACGTCACTAACACGTCATTCGTAGACCCAAATTCCTTCCCGCCGACGCTATTCTGCTGTATTTGCGCGATGTTGGTTTAAATGTATGATTAAAAATGCCTGGAACACGATTTACTGTAGCTCTGCAATAATAGTTACATAAAAACAAAATGTAATCCAGATACTAAGGATATAACATATCATAAATTTCCCTCAAATCAAGAAGTAAGAAGTATTTGGATTCAACGCTGTAGGCGAGCTGAGAAATGGAATCCAAATGCTGCACATATTTGCTCCATTCATTTGTCCACTAACATGTCATTAAATTAAAAAAAAATCTGTTTAGTAAAATTAGTCTTATTAGGATATTTTAGAAAACTTGGTTTCAGGGGCTATTTCTGGTTCTCCGCCAACTGCAATTGTGCTTCTCGCCAATTGATAACGGTTTGTCTTGCTTTCTTTTATTATTGACATGGATATCGAATTTTATCGGATTTTATTATCGAAATGTTTAAATGTAAATCTTGCAGTTCGCCTTTTTAAGCGAAAATATATTTGAAAGCGCATGCACAAATACGCCAATTTAAATAATAAATTTGCACCATTTTCGTGTACGTATTGTACGAAGCAATTTTGTACAAGAAATTCTTTAGGTAAACATAGAATACGTATCCATAATATAAGGCGAAAAGTGGGTTAGGGTTTGGAAATACGCTGCCGGGAACTATTTCTAATCACAGGAGATATAAGATCTCACCTAGAGACTTGCCATAATCACAGCTATATGACCAAATGTATAAAACTGGAGTTTAAAGAAAAGCAAGGTACGCAATGAACTTTTTCTTATTTTGTTTTCCTAGTTCAATTATAAATAAGAAAAATTATTACGTGACTTCTGTATATAGCCCTTAATCTTTTTATATTCAAATTAAATAGCTTAATGAATACGGTGTTATTCATTAAAGCTATTTCAGCACACACATTTATTTCAAAAAACACCATATATATGGTATTATTAATTTAAGCTGTTTCAGCACACAAATATACATTTATTTGAAAAAATTAGCATAAATTAATTACTATGAAACATATAATTTCAGAACACTATAGTTTTAACAATTAAGATTATTTTTGTTTGTTGGTGCAATCTGCATATTTTTATTTACTAATCTGATGCCTTATAAAAATTTATACATTTTTTTTCCTCAGACTTTTATTCATGACTGTCAGATGAAGAGAGACAAACAAAGACCCATTTTGTGATACAGCTGTCTCATCATCTGTGTTATATCCACTTTTTGCTACTCATTATTGATTTGTTTACATTTTTGTTGATAGATTGCAATCTAATTTTGCAAAATATTGGTGCTGTACTAAATTGTTCTTCATTTCCCGAGAAATGAAGAAAGCCAAAAAAATGGATAATTAATTCTTGTCATGATCCTGGCCTAGAAACATGTGCTTTTTGAGCTAAGTGCATGAAGCTTTGTGTTTTACCATATTAATACCGTGTTTTAACAAAAGTTTCCCGCGACCACAAATATTGCCTGCGCAAACAGTTCGTGTTGGCTTGTTTGATTCTATTTTGTCAAACAATTTTCGGCATTTGAAAGAAAGAGAGGTACAACTCTGATATACGCTCTAATTTCACCAAATGTGGCGATATGTGTTCTGCGCTGGTTTTTGGCGCGATTGCGTGTTGTATGGCAACCCTGTTGACGTTGAAAAATCTTTCGCTGGAATTCGTTGGTTCCCGTCATGATTTGTGTCTGAGAAGCTAGGGGGGGAGATTTAATGGTGAAAGTTGTTGAATTGAAGTTCGGTATAAGGAAATATCGTCGTGGCGATCCTGTTGAGGGGCAATGGGTATTTGGAGGTGTGGAAAGAAGGTATGGGAGATTATTTTAGTGGATGTGCGTGATAGAAGTAGGGATTTGTGATTAATTGTTATTTTATTTATTCGTGAACCATAGTATGAATTTTGAAACCTTCAATTATTTTTGGGCCATTTATTTTAAATTTTATTTTGTCCCATTTTTCTTCCTGGCTTTTGGAACTACAAAATGTACGAAGTTTCTTTTTACTCTCCTCTGAAATATGAAATTGCCCCCTTTCGATATACTTTTTCTTCTCACCTTAACTTTTTCGCTCATTAGCACAAAAAGACTTAACAGGTGCAAAACAAGATATCTGTCTACTTTGTCTGTCCCCAGTATTTCCTATTATTAACTTTTAGTTGGCAACACCATAATATACGACCTTTCGGGGAGCTTGTGTAAATTGCGTGTAAATTTGTTATTGAACATATATAAACAAGCAGGTAGAAAGCTCTTTTAAATATTTGTTGCATGCTTATGGTTTAAACTATGCGAAAGTTTTCATTTTGATTTGTTATTTATGAATATAGTATAATTTCATTTGTTATAAGAATGGAAGTTGTTTGTGTTGTAATGAATTTTCAAATAAAATTGTGCTGTCTATATGTATATTTATTTTAGTGACTAATTCGCAGTTGATAAAAGCGATAATGTAATATAGTTAATTCGCAAAATGTAATAAACCTCATTGTTTTAATTTTATCTCGCTTTATTGCTGCTTTTTTTTTTTTTTTTTTTTTGTAATATATAGTTTAGATTATTAACCGTTTCGGACTTTTTTTTCTGTTTTCCATAGCTATGAGCACGTCTAAACTCTTGGTTGCTGCGCAAAGAACTTTTAAGAATTCCACGCTTCCTTATAGGAATTTTGGTTTTTGTGCAGTTTTAATGGCCAAAACTCCAACTGATCCAATTCAGAAGTTATTCCTTGAAAAGTTAAAAGAATATGGAAAACTGAGCAGGTAAATTCAATATGTGCCTTTTGTTTGAACTGTTAAATCCCATTTCACTATGCTGCTTTCAAAAGAGGATTTCAGCTATTCAGAAGGGAGGACTACATCGTTTAGCATCAAGAGAGCAGCATATTGTAACAATCAAATAGTAATAAAATTAAATATTGTATTCAGCAATATGAACATATCGTATGCATTGTGAAAAGTAGCTTCATGTTTTCTTTTCTGTGTGATTTTATTTCCAATCAGGAATATATTATTTGGTATTCAAAATTTTTGCAAAATTATTTATAAGCATAAAAAATAAAAAAGTGTTTAATACTGTTAATTAACTTAAATTGCCCCTAATAGGAAATTGGTTTGATATGTTTATTGGGATAAAGGAAAATTTTATTAAAAATATTTGAATGTTGAAATAAGGAAATGTATGCAGGTTATAACAGTATTCAGTTGAAATCAGTTTGAGTTTAAGGTGGGGGGGGAGGAAATCATAAATGTTATGATTCCATTGGCCAGTGGGATTGAAAGGATTAAGTAAATATTTTGTAATATAATTAGTAAAATTATATATATGTAGAAAGTAAATTGTAAGAGTAAACTGCTATTAATTAAGGGTGAGATTTACTTAAATGTACAGGTACTAGTAGAACAGAATTGGATACTAGAATTTTGCCATTGTTGGTATAGGTGTAGTCCTTCTGTACTGACTGTTTTACCTCAATTTTGATGGACTGGGTGACGTATCGGAGGATTTTTCAACCCAATGTGTACTACCACCAACTCACTTTAAAGCATTTTTGCTCATTAATATTCTAAATGGCCTCATGCCACATTATATATATACAGTCAAAAGTCGTTAATTCGGACACCCATAATCCGGACCTCAAAGCTACAAACTTTCTGCGCATGCGTCGCGTTGACGCATGCGCGTAAGACCTTTACCGCTGCGAATTTGCGTGTGCGCAAAATACGTTTACGAATGCGCGTTTAATGTATAACGGATGGATAAGCTAAGCTAAAATTATCTAATTATCTATTTCAGTTAATGTTGCAGATTGCGTTGTTCCTTAATCTTCGAATTGGATCCGGCTTATTATTTTTTGCAGACTGTTAGAGCAATTTTATAAAAGTAAGCTTGAACTTTCGATTATGTCAAATAGAATTTCCGATATATATTTACTAATATGTAAAGGATATACAAAGCGAAAGTATCTTTCGGAGTCCATTAAACAAAAAATGGAATTGCTGCAAAAAAATGGATAAAGGCATATCCTTTGTTTATCTAAACTTAACGTTTGTTTATCTAACTTTAAACGTTTGTTTATCTTTAACGGGCGGCGGCGTGCAATGAATTGGAAGTTGATCTGTCAGCACTATCCTTATCTTCAGGGCAGATGTTTTTATTTTATTTGGCTTATAATTGCTTACTCAATGTAGTATTTCATCTCGATGTACTCCGTCTTTGATATGATTTAAATCAAATTGCCTCGCCATTATAATTCGCTTCCGATAGCGAAGAAAGTGACACAGAGGTTTATTGAAAAAATGAAAAATTTCGATTGACAAATTAGTCGGTATTCTCGACACAGCAATTATAGGACTTGAACAGCGGAACTTTGTAACTGAACAAGAAATTATGTCTGTTTATAGAATTAAAGAGAAATGTATTATCACATAAAAAACGAATCAACTTAAACAACTTACATTGAAAGAAATGTTTAATAAAGTAAACCAATAAATATTAAGCTTTTTCTTTTGTAAATTTTGATACCCTTTAGATCATAATTGTTCTTTATTTCATAAATTACGGTTTCATATTTTTAATTTTATAATTTCTGCATGCCATTTTACCAGATTTAAACTGATGATCTATAATCCGGAAAAATCAATAATCCGGAATCGCCGAAGTCCCGACGAGTCCGGATTAACGACTTTGACTGTATATTAACACGACATTATATATATATATGTAAAATATAAAAAAAATACAATGGCTTTGCTCTTTACAAACCAGCAACCTTTAATTAATTTTCTGCAATTTAGGATCTTCCTAGACCAGTACCTTCTAGAATTTGCTAACTTATTACATAACCGCTACTATAAATACTGAGTATGTGCCATTTTTCAGTCAGACTGCTTCCTAATATCGCTTCTACAAGACTCCATGCTGCTCTGTCCATCCTTCTTTCCTTTGTTAGAATTAGTTATGATGCAGAAAGTTTAAATTCAATCCTACTTAGTTAAAATCACTATAAATATGTAATTTAGAAAGTTTTCATCTGAAAGAAAAATGATCTGCTAATTGGATCAAATAAAAATGTGCAATTAAAAGCTAAATCAATTTGTGTCATCTTTGGATATCCTCCTTACCACTCTGTAAAAAACCATGCCTGAACTTTGATTCCAAGCTTCACCACTACTGCTAATATATCACAGTTATTTATTTAGCCAACTGAATTTCCTGTGCGTGAAAAAGCTCCTATGGATTATATAATGCACTTTTAACTTTCATCGTCTACAGTGGGTCGAGGATATTTATTTAGAGCGTCAAATCATCTGCTGCTTGTGTTTTTGCTTTTTCCTTGGCTCCGAAATTATGCGATTTTTAAGTGTGCTGTGAAGTGTTTTGATTAGTGAAAATTCTTCAACAAAGTGTAATGTGAAACATTTTTTAGTGTTGATTTCATATTCAAAATTGGTATGAATACAAGATCTAAAAGTAAAATGGCAACTAATACTGAATCAATAGTTACAGTTGATGCTGCAAAATTTCAGTTTCCAATTTTTGGCAGGTCAAAAAGTGATTTTCCTATTGAAAAGTACATTCTACTGTTTGAACAAAAATGTGCCGCTAAAAATATTCGGGATAAAGATATAAACACTTTGATACAATGTACAAAGCCAAAAAACAGTTACCGGCTGATCTTTGGAATATGGTAATTGGTAGTTTGGCGACATTTTGGAGGCGATAAAGGTTACTACCTAGGACTTTGGTAATAATGTGAGAAGCACTCAGTTCCGATTACGCATTATTTTGTGCGAGGGAAATGAGAGATCATGAGATATGTCATGTGACATTAATGTACGAATTACAGTTCTTTAATCGGAAAAAGGGGGGGGGGAATTTGGAAAACTGTAGTACTATATTATTTTGTATTAAGCTTCATTGTGTGTTGTGTGAAATAGTGGAAGTGTGCGTGCCACGTAATGAAGATTCTGAAGATTAGGTAAGTTAGTATTTTTAATCATTTGAGGATATTATTTTTATGCATTGTTCTAAATGTAAGGAGTAAATAAATTAATATGGTATTATTGGAATATTGTTATTAGCAATGATTTAGTTTAAAGTAATAAGAATTGTAATCTAATTTTTATTAATTTAATGTATGTGCTTATTTATATTTTAAGTAGTGTTTTTGAATTTAATTATATTTTAATTAAATGATCGTGATTTTGTGAGTTATATGTTTGTAGTATTTTGGAATACATTTGAGTAGAAATACATTGAGTATTTTCATGCATTTTCATGAAATTTTTCTAATTTATGAGAAAAAAGCAGTGTACATGGATATAGTAAAGAGTGTGCGCAATGCCGTTTTTGTGCAATTCTGGGTTTTTTTTTAAGTAAAAATAAGTCGACGTGTACATGGTTTAGTGATATTTTAATTAAATGATAGTTATTTTGTGAATTTTATGTTTGTAGGAATTTGGTATACGTTTCAATTGAAGTAAACGTGCACAGAAGTAATTTAAATATTTGACACTAAGTATTTGGGCTGATCTTTAGAATATGGTAACTGGTAGTTTGGTGACATTTTGGAGGCAATAAAGGTTACTACCTGGGACTTTGGTAATAATGTGAGCAGTACTCAGTTCCGATTACGCATTATTTTGTGTGAGGGAAATGAGAGATCATGGGATATGTCATGTGATATTAATGGACGAATTACGGTTTCTTTAATCAGAAAAAGAAAAGGGGGAATTTGGAAAAATATCTGTGGCTGTATATTATTTTGTATTAAGCTTCATTGTGTGTTGTGTGAAGTAGGGTTGAATAATTTTGGGATTGTATGGCACTGTCTAAAGTGAATTCTAGATGTGATAAAGAGAATTTTGCTTTTTATTTAGCGGAGGAAGTGTGGAGGAAAAATTCGCAGAAAAAATCATTCAATAATTTTATTGAATCCATAATAAAAGTATGTAATAAAAGTATGTCCACCATGTAAGCAAGATTCTGAAGAAGATTAGTTAAGTTAGTATTTTTAATTATTTGAGGATATTATTTTTATGCATTGTTCTAAATGTAAGGTGGAAGTAAAGTAATTTGGTATTATTGGGAAAATTGTTATTAGCAATGATTTAGTTATTTAAAGTAATTAGGATTGTAAGCTAATTTTTATTAATTTAATGTATGTGCTTATTATATTTAAGTAGTGTTTTTGAATTTAATTATATTTTAATTAAATGATAGTTATTTTGTGAATTTTATGTTCGTAGGAATAATGGTTCGTAGGTGTAAATGGTTTATGTGCTATTCTGAAAAACGCGCAAGCAGTTTGCGATTGTGCACTTTTTCCCAATTTTGCAGTTAATATTTGTCATGATTAAGCAGTTTTGTTACATAAAATTTCTAGCATAAGTGTAATTCGGCTGCTAGATTGTTGGAAAAAGTGTTCAGTAAATAAAAGAAAAGAAACATGTCTTTACTTCGTGAAGACAAAATGGCGGCGAAAAAAAAAACAGAGGTTTGCTGTAGCGGAGTTGGTCGCCAAATTTTCGCCAAAAAAGTCGCCAAGTTACCATAATCCAAAGATCAACCCAGTTACCTTTTATTAGGCAACGGAGATTTTTTGTTATTTTGTACCTAGCACCCTGCAGCCATCAGGAAGCTAGTCGCGCTGGTCTGTTGGTGAGGACATGCGAAAATTTTGATTCAGCGTGTTCATGTCTTATTATATCATATCATTATTTATATGGAATTGTATTGTAGTGTTTCGTATTGAATTTTTAAACTATTTTCAAATATGTCAATGTATTGTTAATTACCTACGATGAGAAGAATGAATGCACATAATACATTATAAATTGTATATTTTCTATGTTTTGTATGGAAAGAAAATTTGAAATATCTTCCATTCAAAAATTATTATTGAATCATATTTATTGGAAAAAGTGCCTAATATTTGTGAACTTAGTCCACAAGATGAAAATAAGCTGGATTTACTAGCATCAAAAGACTTTTAAATAAGTATTTCATTTCATTTCAACTATTTTTATGAAAGGACTGTTCAATGGACATTTTAAGAAAAATTGAGGACTTTTATGCTTATAATTTATTTATTTATTATTATTCTTTAATATAAAATTTAGTTATATGTTTATTTATAAATCATTGTAAATTTGTATAATTCAAACACACTTATATGAGAAAAGATTATGATTTATGATAGAACATAGTTAAAGCTTGTAAGCTATGTCCTGGATGTTTCTTCATGTCTTTCCTCATACTTCTTGCTTCACTAATCTACTAATGCTTTGCTCACCCGGCCTCTTGTTTTTGAGGGGGGGGGATGCAAAGTTTTAAAGAAAAAAAAAAGATGACTTTGCTGTTTGCAAATCAGCAACCTTTACTTAATTTTCTGCAATTTAGGATATTTCCCCTAGACCAGTACCTTCTAGAATTTGCTAGCCTATTATGTAACCACTACTATAAATACTGAGTAGGTGATATTTTTCAGTCGGACTGCTTCCTAATATCGCTGCTACAAAACTCTGTGTTGGTCTGTCCATCCTTCTTTCCTTTGTTAGAATTAGTTATGACACTGAAAGTTTAAATTCAATCCTACTTAGTTAAAATCATTGTGGATATGTAATTTAGAGAGTTTTCATCGAAAAGGAAAATGATCTGCTAATTGGGTAAAATAAAAATGTGTGATTAAAAGCTAAATCAATTTGTGTCATGTTTGAATATCCTCCTTACCATTCTGCAAAAAGCCATGCTGGTGGTGAACTGCCACGCGGGGGATACGTTCCATCAAAGTAGAGCGTAATGCGAAACAGTGCTAAACGAGGCTATCTTTACATGTAAATATTGGGGTTAGGGGAAGATGGCTAGGAAATTGGTTAGGTATTAAATTTAAAAAGTATGTTTTTTTAATAAAAATAAAACCAAAGATTTATTTCCTAAAGAAATTAATACCACATTATTATTTCTTGCAAAAATAAAAACAAAATATAAATAACAAAACGAATATTCTTAAAAAAAAAAAAAAACAAATAAAATTCTCAGTCAGTCATATTTAGTTAGCCTTCCGCGTTTTCAGTGTTCTGCCTTTTTGTGACAAAAGCATCTAATGTTGTTTGCCTTTTTCTTTTGTGTTGTTCTCTTAAAAGTTCTTCATAAACGGATAGAGCATCTCTAACACCACGCCTTACTTTTGAGCTCCTGTCAAAATTCGGATCATTTTCAATGAATTGATCCATTATTTCAGTTATGGTAGACAAACTCCTTTTTACAAACGCCATCGAAAGTTTTTTTTGCTTCTTCTGAATCACTGCTGTCAACATTTTTGTTTTCTTCTTGTTCAGTTAATTCCTTGAGCTCATCATTAGAAAAGACTAGCCGCTGCTTCTTGAATTATTTCTTCGACATCTTCCACATTTACCCCTTCAAAATATGTCTGTACAATACCGCACCAAACAAAAAATACAAGTACACTCTTTCGAATATGTATTTGAAACCTATCGCTGCATAATATTTCGGGGAATCCCCGTATGCTGCGAGCGATTTCGTGGAATCCCCGGGTTGAAATAAAAGAGCGCTAAACCGAAACAGCGTTAAGCGGGGTCTTACTGTATATAAATTTTTCAATTTTTGGCCTTTGGTAATAAATTTCTTACTTTATATTTTTACTGATAATTTTTCAGTAGATTAATGCATGAAAATACTAGGCATGATTATGATTTTTTTTAAAAATATTTTGTAATTATGAAATATATATATATATACTTATAAATGTTAATGCCTTCACCAGGGTTTGTACCTGGGCCCAATGATTCAGCTGCCCACATTGCAAACCAAGTGGCTTTCAGTGGCATAGCTGGGGGATATCTGTGCTTGGGCATGGCAACCAGGGGGGCACCAAAGTTATGTTTGGAAATAGATGAATGAAATGTTTTTCTATTCTTAGCAAACAGGAGCGGACATGAAATTTTCACTTACTGCAACACTAACTGGGATTGTGGCGACATTCAAATAAACTTACAAACTAGTCAGGGCAGCACTGTGCTAGTAAATTTAATAAATAAAAGAATGATGGCAACTAAGTTTTCAATAATTCCAAGCATTTAATTAAATCCTTAAACCATAAGAAAGGGAGGGGGGAAAATATTTTTGTCCGGTTGTAGTTATATGATAAGATTAAAAAATCATACACATCATGTTGAATTTAATCTACTTTTCTGATCTATGGTTTTACATAATTGTAGTAAGTCTTAAAATATATTACCTGTGATTGTGATATTATTATTATATTTCAAATGACTGCATGTTATAAACTTAAAATCATATTTGCGATGGGCATATTTTGTTTTTAAAAAAGTTATCACTTCAATGTGTTGCTGTTTACCTTAGAACTAATAGAAGTTTTTGTTATTTCTCCATTGTAGCAGAAAAGGTATCCTGAATTAAACCAATTATTGAGTTTTCCTTTATGTTTTGAAGAAAAAGTATTAAAAATATTAATAAATAATAAAAAAGAAAGACGTTGATGAGATAATTTAAAGATACATGAATGTATTAAAATATTTGAGAATCGGTGGACTAGATTAACTATATGTGATTATGTTATTTCCAAGTTCTTTATCATCCATCTTAAAGAGATATGATTAACAATAATATTTTTTTCCTTTTTTAGTACGCAAGGAAGTAAATTAGTTGATATATCGCCAGAAAAACAGAAGGAGTATGATGAAGGTTTAAATAATTTGAAGAAACAGTATGGTGCTGATAAAGATGATTTTTCAAAATTTCCCACTTTTAGTTTTCCAGGTTAGAATTTTTATAGATCTGTTTTATATGTTTGTAGAAGCATTTTGCTTTTTAAAAAATTAAAGTCTAGTTTATATTTTCTGGAACATTTACTTTTTTAGTAAAGCAAAATATTACTCAAAATTGTCATATTCATGTTGAACATTATAAATTTTTTATGTTTATTAAGAGTGTGTTATGATTTGTTTGTTTGTTAGACATATTTATTTATTTTTGTATTAATTATTTTTTCAACAGAACCATTCATATTGTCATTTAGCAGTTATGTGATGTTTCACATTATCTTAAACTCAGTTCAAGCATCAGTTTTAATCAATTAATGATCTTGCTAACATTCATTACATATTTACTCAAAGAAAATAAATATAGCTTCTCCTGCAAGAAATTGTCAAATAATGTCATTTTTACTACTTATGAAAGACTTAGACACTTATAGCAATAGTAGCAACTTGTATGAACAGATTTTGATAATCTTGATTAATTCATATATATGCAGAACACCTTTTGACCCCCAAATCATCTTTCCCCCTTTTAGAATTTTTCTATTTTAAAGTATGCTTCTCATCTTCATATGCATTTTATTTGTAAAAGCTATGCAAGAGGTGTTACAGTCTACCTTCAGTATAATGACTGATCATTATAACATTCCATTGCACTACTCTTGAAAAAGTTCTTAGTTGATAAAAGTAAATTAATCCATTTTTCTTAGGTTGGCAAATGATTAACAAGTATCACCTGTATTAACATTTTATGATTATTTAAATTCACCTTCATGAATGGCTGCATAGTAATGAATGTTTTCTGTATGACCCAGAGTCCCAAGATAAATAACTTCCTATGAAATTCATTGAATATTTTGAATTGCAGATTTCAAAAAAGGTTGTCAATTTTGATTTGACAAAACTTATTAATACTGATTGCTAATTAAGTTTTAATATATTTGGTCTTACTATTCTCTAAAGAAAGCATTTAAAACTGCAATCTAAATCTGTGATAACAGATAAGAATGGTTGCTGTTCAGCATATTGTATAGAATTAACTTTATGCAACTGAAAAATATATTATTTTTAATATTTTTCATCATGATATACTTCTTATGAAATACTTTATCTTCCATTTTTAACCTAATTTTGAGAGAAAAATCAGATGTTGTATACGATTTTTGACAGAATGGATTAAATGAAAAATTTTATTACATTAAAAAGTGCTTATGAGCAGATGTACTAATATTACTGTAGTTTGTATTTAAGAGAAATAGATTATAATAATCACTTTCCATGCTGATCTTTTATTATTTATTTATTTATTTATTTTACTCAGTATATTTTGCTGGTTGTCTGGAACTTTTGAATGGATATCATAAATTAGAATTTTCTGAATTATAGTCTGGAAACACGAGAAAAAAAATTATGCAAGAAAATACAGTTGTTTATTCCACATTTTCCTTTTTATTAAGAAAATTAGAGGATATATGGCATGTATAAAAAATATTAGGATCTGCAAAGTTTTCTTATAAAAGTTATTATATGGAAAAGCATTAAATATGTGGTCTAAAAGAGTTATATGCAAATTAAAACATAACATAAATATTTAGTGGGTATTTACATATTTAACACAAGCATCTTACTAGAAGTTTCCAAATTGCATAAGCATTCTTCAGGCAATCATGCTCCCAACAATCCTTCAATAAAGCAATGTCGTCATTTTTGCTTGCTCCATTTTTCCTGTATTTCAAGTTACTTTGGGTTTCATAGACAGATGATGATATTTTTTGCCCTCAACTCTTTCATAGTATCGCTTCTGGAATTCTTCTAAAACGGAAGAAACTATGGGAAAAATTCCGCAGGAATTATTTGGTATTTCTATAAAACTGTGATATTTCACTGCAAAATCGCTAAAGGAAACAATGATGAGGTGTGCAGTGCAGTGTTTGTGCGATTCTGTGATATTTTTTTTAATGAAAACAGACCATCAGGGGAAAAAAACGATGTTAAAAAAATTAAAGGATTTTGGTAAAAAGTATTTTATTTTTTTACTATATAATCCTTATTTTGCAGAAAAACACTAAATAATATCAAGGTGGTTACGTTAACGTTAATATGCCAATACCATTCAGTGTCAACATTTTTTGTCATTTAGCAGATATGTAGGTGCTAATTGAATCATTGCATCAGTTTGTTCAGGCTGTCTAGTAGAATGCACTTTACAACCACAACACTTTTGCCCTTCAGTTTTGATGAAAGTAGCATAAACAATATAATTTCTGTGACATAGCCTAAGAATTAGTTGTACAGAAGACTATGCAGGCTTCTAGCAGAAAATCAGATGTGCTAATTTTGATCCTTCTGCATGAAAACATGTTACTCAACTAGCTTAGTGTTTGAAAAGGAGTGAGATGTATGCTTTTTTTAACTAAAAAAAAAGTTTTGATTTTTTTTGTTTTTTTTTTTCCTCCCCATGGAGCTGAGTTAAATCTGGAGCTTAGCATTATTTATTGGGCCCTTTTAATGGGGGGGGGGGAAGGCTTGTACATTTTTTATTTGGACAATGAATAGAAAGCATTAATCTTTAAGAAATCAGAAAACAATCCTGTGTCATTGCTGTTTGCATTTCCCGTTTGTGACTTTAAAACTGATAGAATTTTGCTAATTGTATGCAAAAATTGAAAGAATGCTTTCTTCTTATTCTGATATGGATGGGCATCTTGAATGTTTTTCCTTAAGGTCCCTCATTGTCTGATATTACAACCACTGAATGATGTCATTTGAAAGATTAGTTTTTAAATTTCCTGTATAGGATCTGCTGAACAGAAAAATAGCTGAAGTCACAATTTTCAGTCCATGATATGCTTTCTGTTCTGGAATTGTTGTTTTTTGTGGCATTTTTGGCCACTGTTATAAAAAGTTAAAAAAAATGAGAATATATTTTTAGGAAGAAAACGTTCTGAAGATTTTAGGGTACTTTTCCATTTCGCCAAGCAGGCTTTATTTGTGACAACTTTCAGTATACACATAAACTACGCTATAAAATTCTAATCCTCTCAGTAATTATCTACATTAATTTTAAGTTGAATCTTAATTTGGAATACAAGTTTTAATCCAAGAATTAGTTCAATTCGTATGAATAGCTTACTCAGAAATTATGTAAAACTGCAGTGCTTTGCTTCGGTAGTGCATTTTCATTAGAATGGATAAATTTAACCCTTGACTTTGCCTTTTCTATATTTTCGCCTTCGGATGAGTGGTGTGATTGCATCCTAATTGACTTCATTACCACGAATGGTCTTAGAATTAAAGTACTTGCTAAAAATTATATGTAATTGTGTGCTAGTGTTAAAAGAAACAATCAATCTGATAAAAAAGTGGTTGCGACTTGTTTTGAAAATGAGGCATAAAAGATTACCAGCGAGGATATTCCGTTTGGCTTCGGTTGTACCATTTTGGGTGACTTTATCGGTTGCCTAGCTTGGAAAAGTAACGAATTTTAAAGTCTTTACCACATTCTGATTCGCCGGTTCATATCACGTGACCCCAAGTGATCTCATCTCACGTAAACTACGGTACAAAAATCTAATTCACTCGGTAATTATCTATATTAATTTCAAGTTAAATCTTAATTTGGAATACGAGTTTAAATGCAAGAATTATTTCAATTCGTACGAATAGCTTACTCAGAAATTATATAAAACCACAGTGCTTTACTTCGGTAGTGCATTCTCCTTAGAATGGATAAATTTAACCCTTGACTTTTCTATATTTTAAATATAGAAAAGGGTTATATATATATTTATATATATATAACCCTTTTCTATATTTTCGCGATCGGGTGAGCAGTGTGACTGCACCCTAATTGACTTAATTTCCGCGAATGGCCTTAGGGCATAAAATTGAACTATCTGGAAAAAATTATATGTAATTGTATGCCAGTATTGAAAGAAACAATCAATCTGATAAGAAATGGCTGCGACTTGTTTTGAAAATAGGGCGTATAAAGGTTACCAGCCAGGATATTCTGTTTGGCATTAGTTGTATCATTATTGGCGACTTGATCACCTGCGCCGGCAAAACGGAAAAGTACCAATTTTAGCATACCTAATTTATCTTTAATACATAATTGCCTGTTTTTGAAATTAATTTTTTAAGCATTATTGGCGACTTGATCACCTGCGCCGGCAAAACGGAAAAGTACCAATTTTAGCATACCTAATTTATGTTAATACATAATTGCCTGTTTTTGAAATTAATTTTTTAAGCAGTAAGATGAGATTTCCATTATAAAGTGAGAAAACAAACATTTTGGTATTGTTATTTTATTTTATTTAGTTTTATGGATAATTTTAGTTAGGTACATTAGCAGCCTTGACTGCAATGCAAGTTTGCATCAGATTGTATGCTTTAGATTGTTCAGAAATGCTTGTGTCAAGAGAGCATGTTCATGTTAAATTGCATTCCGAAAATCCTGCAAAGTATTAAGTGATGATTTGCCATCTTTAACAGTATCAAGACTGTTAAGTGTGTTTCTCTCTTGATTGTGTCATGTTTAGAATCTTTCCAAAGAAAACATAAACCCATCATTAAAGATAATTAAGCTGCAAAGTAATAGTGCTCAAATCATGGTGCTTTTTGCACCATCAATGGACACTTGGGATATTTTTCTACATTTCAAAGCCTAGTTATGAAACACTGATTAAGTCCACCAATGGCCGAGCAGTAAAATCCCTTAACACTGGTAGTTCTAACCTGGACTCAAATCAAGGTGAATGGGCTGGTTGCATGAGCATTGTCATGGTTTTTCCCAATGTGTAATGTGTGCACAAGCCAGTTTCCCTTAAAAAGTCCTTCACAAGCACATCCCTCCCCTTTAGACAGATAGCTGTAGTGTGCTTTGCTATAATAAACCTCCCCTCAAAATATCAATAAGAAAATTTGGCTGACAGCTAGAAGATGCAGCAATCTTATGTTTCCTTTGTATTTAAAAAAAATATGAAGAGTACGTAATTGTGATAACCACTCAAAAATATGCATTATCATTATTTCAGGTTGTATATTTGTTGACTAAGTTGTGCATTAAAATTTTATTCTTTATTGAATATTAAAAATTTAGTTATTAAAATAATTGAATTCACTTAAGAATTCAAATTTTAAATTAAATTATTAAAATAGATTTTGTATATAGTTTGCTTCTTTGATCTGATAATGATTTGCTGTCTGAAAATATTGATTTTTTTATTTGTATGAACTGTAAAAGAAAATTTATTTACATGTGAGCATTTATTATTATTATTATTCCTTTTTTTAGAGCCTAAACTTGATCCTATCAACCTGGAAGAAAGAAATGAAGAAAATATTTAGATAATAAATATTACTAATGTAGAAATGTATTCAATGTATGAACGTGAACTGATTTCAATTACAATGTAAATCTAATTTAGTTCATTGTGTTCTTTTTCTTAAATAATATAAAAATACTGCTCATTATTGAAAGAACAGTTCATGTTTAAGTACAATAAAAAATCATTAGTAAAGATATCAAGAAAAATACTTAAATTATATATACACACATACCCATTCTTGTAGTTTAATTAGTTTATTATTTTATTTTTCAGAATTATTAAAAGTTGACTAAATATATGATTTAATGATATAAACTGTATGAATTTTAATCAGTACTTTATTTATAAGGGTTTTTGTTCAATAAAATGCTTCAAAAATTTACTACTTTTAATGGTATATAGAATAGATGTATACTAATACCATATATAAAATTAAGTTCCTATTTTATTAGTTTTTATTAAAAAACTATCAACAAGGGGTATGCTGGGTCCCTCTTGCTTATGCAGCAGAAATGAAATATAATCATAAGGTATAGTCTGGAATACTTTTCTTTCTATAGCAGAATATTTATTCTTAAAGAGAAAGTATACCTTGTCCTCAAAATCAAGCCCACCAGTGGCCCAGAGGATAAGACCATTAAATATTTGTATTAACACCTAAAAAGAGGTACAAGATTTATTCCCCAGAGCCACCGTTTTCCAAACAGGCGAGCATAGTTATGCGATGTATTGGGGGAAAATAAGTACAAGTTTTACTTTCTAAAAACTGTTTATTTTCACAAAATAAAGACTAAAAGAAAAAATGAAAGCTCAAAATTTAATTTTTAGAGTAAAAATATAATAAAAAAAGATTTTTGTATAATAAGAAAGATCCCTCCAAAAATGGAGTTTTGATTAATGTATTTTTAGACTAATAAAGTGTAATATCAGGTTTCAGTGTTATACCTTGAAAATCAGTATATCTAAAAAAACATATATTTCTTCTGAATTGGTTGGATGCCAAGATATTTTTCTTGATTTTCCTTTTGCAGGATGTTAGTTCATATACTGGTCTGCAAAACAGTTAGTTTCAGTAACAATATGAACCACAAGCAGTTCATCAAAAAATAATTCAAAAAGATAGTGGGTTTGAAACATCCGTTACATCTCTCTTTATTCCTGCCACATGTTATAGACAGTAAACGAAAATGGAAGACACAGGGGAAAAAAAAAATGTTTTACTCAAACAAGAAACATGAGCAAATACCACACAGTCATTACTTTCACCTTTCAGAAACATACCCCTCTCCAGTTCCTCCCCCTTCTCTGAAATAGTAATCTGCTTCCCATACACTGTCAAGGCCATTGTGGTGTTGCATTGCAAAGCTTTGCAAATGATTTTACTGGTAGCAGTGCAAAACAAATGATAGCATTTCAGAAGAGTGTATATATATGCCTGGGGCAGTTAACACATAAGCTGAGCAAGGCATATATATATATGCCCATGGCAGATTCAAATCATAGATAGCTAACTGGCTGAGAATGTGGGTAACAAATCAATTTCTGCTGCAAAGTTCATTATGAAAGCATCCCTTTTATCTGTTCTGTGCTTTACACTAAGTTTGCACCAGTTAAACAAATTCTTAAAATTGATAGTTTTTTATGAAAGCAATGCTTAACTAAGCTTGATTTTTGCTTTATTTTATATGTTTAATAATGTAACATACAGGACTATGTACTTCCTTTTAGCCACTTTAACTGTACTTGTATCATCATCCAGTGTAAAATTTCATTCTTTATTCTTTTGTGAACACACCTTTCTATTCACATTGCAGGGATTTTATTATTAGTCTTGTTGCTATTGAGAAGTTTCAAAATAATATTAGACAATGCTGATAAAGTTATATATACTGTTTTTAATCTTTTGTGCTAATAAACAATATTCTATTATAATTTGAAGAATTCATTAAAGATGAGTGTGGTTGATGCTTATTCATTAGATTACAGTGCAACCATTTTATTTCTTTTCTTTTCCTTTCTTCAATGGCAGCAAATCTTGCCAAGCAGACTTTATTGGCGACAACACACAGTATACACATAAAAAATGTTGACAAATGTTAGTTTTAATTTCTTATTTTGAAGGTAAAAACATTTTAATGTCATTTAAAATTTTGTAAAATAGCCAATAAATAAAGACAATAAATTTGTAAAAAGACATTAATTTTAAGAATTTACTATGCTTTTCATGGTACCACATTATGATTCGCTGCTTCATATTACGTGACCCCAAGTGATCTCATTTCACGTAAACTACGGTACAAATCTAATTCACTCGGTAATTATGTACATTAATTTCAAGTTAAATCTTAATTTGGAATATGAGTTTAAATGCAAGAATTATTTCAATTTGTACGAATAGCTTACTCAGAAATTATGTAAAAGTGCAGTGCTTTACTTTGGTAGTGAATTCTCCTTAGAATGGATGAATTTAACCCTTGACTTTCCCTTTTCTATATTTTCGCCATCGTGTGAGCGGTGTGACTGCACCCTAATTGACTTAATTACCGCGAATGGCCTTAGGGCATACAATTGAACTATCTATTAAAAATTATATGTAATTGTATGCCGGTATTGAAAGAAACAATCAATCTGATAAGAAATGGCTGCCGCTTGTTTTGAAAATTGAGGTGTAAAAGGTTACTAGCGAGTATATTAAGGATGGCATTGGTTGTACCATTTTTGGGAACTTAATCTCCTGCGCCGGCAAAATGGAAAAGTACCTTTTATTTTTTATTTGAATTACTAGTAAAGCTTAAAAATCTTTGAAAACATTCAAACTGTATGAAATAGAAGTATGAGAGACAGCGACATTCTTTACAGTTTTAATAATTGAATTACTCTCTCATGTTAATTTTAAATATAAATAATTTATTACACTTATTTTCAATAAAGCCTAACCTTAACTGTTTGAAATGTAAATTTAAAATAAATAATTTTATTGATGCTAATTGTTGGTTGATGTTAATTTACAACAATAAACAATTGATTATTGCTACTTTCAGCAGAAAATAGTTAATATACCTAGTGTCAAATGCGAGAACACGTTGTGACATCACAAGCTTATTCTGACCTATCTATGACATCATTCAGATCAGTCTTTGCAATTTTTTTTATGCTAATTGTTGATTGATGTTAGAATCTCTGCAAGCTGATTAATAGTTAAAAATCAGGTGATAATATATGCATCATACATTTCAAATAATCAAAAAATGCTTTACATTGAAATGTAAATTGCAGCTAATACTGAAATTGGGGAATTTTGATTTAGAATTCTGCCTGGATAAAATGCTGATAGCAAGAAAAAGTAAATGATAGCTGTAATAAAATGTGCAAATAAAGATTTTCTAGGAATTCTATAGTTACATAAGATGATTTTATGAGAATAGTGTAAAAGATCTCTTTTGCATTCACTATTACGATGAAGGTCGATACTTACAGTTCTTGGCCTGGCAACAGTAATTGCTAGGCGACCGCCGATATTTTTAACCATAACTTCTTCAGAAATTTTTTCTATTTTAGCGTGATTAGTGTTGTTTACAATAAACTGAAAAATTCATCTCGGGCAAAAAATAAAAATGACTCGTAAATATTTTCGTATGATTATTTTTCATAACTTTGGACGGGGATTATCAAGACGAGTGCTTCAATGAACTTGGTTCTTTGTACAAGACATAAAGCACCATCCTACAGCACTGTAAAAAACTTGTATAACGAATTCAATCGTGGTTGACGTTCACTCCAGCTCTAGTCCTGTGAAGGTCGTCCAAAATCGGTTTTTTGGCCAGAAAATAACAATGCTTCGCGTGAACTGATAAAACAAGATCGTCATGTGACATACCGTGAGATTGAGGCATTTTGGGGCATTAGTATGACAAGCATCAATAAGATATTACATGAAACATTTGGCCATAAAAAAGATTTGTTCGCATTGGATCCCACATAATCTGACAAACTCACGGGACACGACCATTTGTGTGCCAGAAATCATCGGAGAAATTTTAAAAAAAGCAGAAGTGGTGAAATCATTCTTCATTATGACAGTGCGAGCTTTTACACAGCAACACAAACAAAGGAATTTTTGACGGGCTAAAACATCAAATTGATTAGTCATCTGCCGTACAGCCCTGACTTGGCACTCAATGACTATTTTTTATTTCCGCACAAAAATAAATTACATGGTCAAAGATTTGTGACACCCGAAGAAGCAGTTGATACATTCAAAATGCATGTTTTTGAGTGGAAAAAGTGCTTTGAAAATTGTTTCAAATGCATGCAAAAGTGTATTGATCTTCATGGTAGAATATTTTGAAAAACATTAAAACCAATTTCGATTGTAAAAATTTGCTTCTCATTATTAGGCAATATTGCTGTTTTGTTTCAATTTCATGCTTTTATGCAAAATAACTCATGATTTAAAAAAATATTTTTATACAATAGGATGTGTAAAATGTGAATTTGAAGCTTAAATGCACTTACCATCACACACCATTCATTTTGAATAAAAATCTATTTCAGCTTTTCATTCTATAATTAATCACTTTATTCTTTCTCACAAATCAAAATATACATTCAAACTTGAGATAAATAAAGAAAATTAAAGTTTTATTTTTAAGCTTGAACTGTAAGTGTTACATTGTTACATTTATATGCAATCACACCTTTTTTTATCACACAATAAATAAGAGAATTGTGAACACCCATCTGATAGATAAGATGTTCCCACCTACAGAAAATAAGAATAAAAAAATCACAACTAAATAATGATAATACTAACTCATACAAGTATAGTGTAATTATAAATATATTGAATCTTTTAATTAAAATACTTAATTAGAAGTAGCATGTATTCAAGAAATATTTTAATCAGCTAGTAAACATCTGTGGATTCACATATTTAATTCACTGCATCTTTTCATTAAAACCGAAGCTTGAATAAAATATTTAAGGAGTATTATGTATATGATGTATTCATATACATTGAATTAAATAAACAAAAATTAGTTTTATTTTAATAATCTGTTGTGTGGTGCTTCAGTTCTCCGAGTCCTTTTCTTTAATTAATTCTAAATTTTTCATGTAATATAGGAATTTTAGAATAGTTATATTGTTTGTTGTTATGCAAACTATATTTCTAGTTATTGAGCTGAGGAGCGGCGCAAATGCAAGGTTTTATAAGTGAGCGTTTCGAGCGTCGGGGGTTACTGAAGTTCCAACGACGCAGATGTTCTTTTGAGATGCACTTTTAAAGCAAAAGGTTTGCTGTATTCTTGAGTCGCCGTTCCTGAGTCAATGTGACGTTTGAAAAGCGAATAAAGAGATTTGGTCGAGATTATGAACTTGAGATTTCTTGAGTTCTAGTGAAGGTACAGTCGCAGGTCAACATACAGTTCACTAACCATTAACGATGGATCATCTTTTACCATCCAGTGTCTCTTTCACTGTTGAAAAACGTTCGGCGTCGTTGTTCCTGTCAACTAGATTCTACAATGGAGCAGCGTCAGTGTCAAGAATAGTTTCATTCGACATGGATTCACTATATTTCACAGTCAACATTAATGAAATCTTCAGCTTCAGTTGAATTCATTATGATAAGCTGAAGCAAGTTAAGAAGCATATCATTAGTCTTCGAGTTCAACATATCCAGTATCCGAACAAGCCTTCATGAAAGAGTTCTATATAGTGATGTTTGATACTCCACATTTTATTGATGAAACGAACAACATCTCGAACATTTATTGATATTTTCTGCTCTTATTATGTGAATCGTATTTAATAAGGCATAACTAATTGGAGGTAATACATTTTGGAAGCTGTGAATCACAACTTGATCCATTGTCTGAAGGACTAATGAGATGTTTGCAGACAAGAACTTTAGTTTAATGTTGTTGAGGTTTTCAACTGCGGGATGAATGCTGCACGGTAGTCCACCAGTAAGAGAATTTGTCTTTTTTCAATTCAAAAGCTATGATCCCATTGACGAAGTTATTGAAAAATTGCCAATGTTGTCCAGGTTTTATTGTTAAACTGTCAATTTAGTGAAATACACTTGACTTTTTAAAAATATCTAGAGCTCTAAAGTTTTCTTGTTAGTGGCAGTTCTTTCTCTGACCCTGTTGCAGATATCAACAAGGTTACTTAGTCTTTCGAATTTTTACCATGAATACATTTTCATCTTGCAAAGTTCAATGTTTTGTTCTGGCATTCGTTAATAAAATAGTCCTATCTGAATCCTCAATGGAGATATGAGATGAAGAACCTGTAAAAATCCTCAACTATTCCTAAATTCGGTTATTATGATGTCATTTCTCTGAATTAATAAGACTCACTTATTTTTTCTAACTTAAATGTTATGCCTCTCTTCTGTGCAACTGCCCAGCTGCTCTGTTAACCACCGAACTGTTGGCCATTATCCAGCTGCTTAGTTTAGATCTTCAGCATAAGTCCATTGAAAAACACAACTAAAGATCTTAAGAGTAAACCATTGAGGTGATGGTTAATTAAATAATCAAAACTTTTTTATGTAATTTTTGTATGTGTTTTCAAAGCGCACAGAACTTTATCCTGTTTTTAAAGATGTTACTTACAGTTGAATTGTTTACTTCTTACTCTCATCTACTGACTAACGGCTGCAATCAATATCATAGAAAATTTGATTCTTATTTTCCAAAGAGAATACATTATGCTTTGACATGCTCGACTGTTCAAAACTTATAACAAAACAAAGTAGTTATAAGGTATTTCTCACGCCCTCTTAGCGTGCCTTCGTGGTGTGGTGGTCTGCACACTGGGCGCGTATTCCAGAGGTATGTGGTTCGATTCCCGGCGAAGACATTGCTCATTTTTTTCTCTCTCCAAAATACCTAATATCTCTACGTAGTTAGTTAGCCATTTCATTCCAATTATTGAGATGACCCTGATTTCACATCCACTCCTACATAAGAAGTAATTATATGCTTTACATGTGGTCTCAAAAGGGTGAGAAAAACCTCACCCTTTTGGGAACCACTCACATTTTCCTTTCCTCTGTGTTTTCTTTTATTGTTTACAGGACAATATTCAATTCAGCTCCCGAAAATGACATTTGTCTCTCTTCGTTTGAAAAAATAAGATTGCAGTAGAAGCTTTTATTGGACATATACTAGCATAAAATTCGAAGTTTTCACTTTCCTGATAAAATAGCAAGCTACAACATAAGCATTTTCAATGATAATAACCTGTCTCACTTTAAAAAATATTTTAAGATGCGGGTAATAACAATTCACTCTGGACAAATTTTGAGGGAAACAGATGCCCAAGTAGTCTCCAGCAGAGTCGAGTGGCAGTGGCGTAGTGAGCATAACTGGCGCCCGGGACAAAATACCTTTTTAACGCCCCCCAAATAAAACAGTAATATTATATATAGAATATATTCATAATAAGAAAATAATGCAATAATAATAAAATGCTGAATCTGCCATAAAATACTCTAAAATATATTGTTTCGTTATTTTTTCCTTCACGTTTGTACGAGGTTCGTGTGGATTTGGAGTGAATAACGATAACAGCACTTGATGGAATATCGAAACATACTTTATTTACCAATATTAATCAGAACAACTCCAAAACACTTTTAGAGTCGTCGAAGATCTACTATAAACACGCTGGAACAATCAGAAACACAGCCTTCACAATGTCAGGCAATAATGGTGGAGACAGCTTCACTGCGAAGCACTAGAGTACAGCTTCCGACTCTGCTCGGTCATTCTCGTAACTCCACGTACTCTCGAGACTCACCACGCTACAGCTCGCAATGCACTCGAGACACATAGAGCACAGCTCGCGATGCACTCGTGACACACAGAGCACAGTTCCCGACTCTTCGGTTCAGTCGTTCCTGGAGCACAACACACTCTCTCGGCGATGCACTAACGGATTCTTTCGGTGCACTCGACCACCCATTTGGCATTCGCTGACCGACTGTCAACTCGATCGACTCCACACGGACTGACTCGATACTGACAAGACACACTAACTAACTGACTGAGGACCACCAGGGTTTATATAGCTTTAGGCTTGTGTTCGAGAACATGCTGGGTTAAACCGGTAAGAATTCGTTCCAGAAGGTTCTCCATCCGTCCATGGCATATCACTGATTTTGTCGACAAATGGGCGATTTCCCGCCAAATGTGGCATTCCTGCATTCCTTGCTATATTATGGCAACCCTCAAACTCCTTTACGGGGAAGCCATCTTAACGCGCCTGTACATTTCGTAACACTGCCCTCTCCCAAGGACTGCACGTCCCGGGCAGTACAAGCCTTGTTCAGAAGCTTAATTCGATACAAACAAAACGTAATGAAACAAACATAAGGTATAAATAAATAGCATAATCAAAGAAACAGATATTTACACTATGTACAAGTTACATACTCAAACACATCACAATTTTAAATTATAAAATTTAAAGTTAAGAATGAATTTCAGTTTCACTCTTTTCATTAAGTTATACCCGGGTCAAATACTTTTCCACGGCAGTTCTCAGATGCATTTCCGTTTTGCATATCACAATCTGAAGATATAGTCCTTTCAGACTTTTCATCCACAGGAAGATGTGAAACAGTTCGTTAACCACTCTGTAGTTCATTCGCAGCATGCATACAGTTCACCTCGGTATTTTTAGCAGCTGGTACGTACTCGTTTTCCCCCATTTCCTGGGAACCAGCTCCAAATTCTGCATCAGAGTCATGAACGGAACCCGATTCTTTACAAACTGAAGCATCCTGGTTTAGAATCAAGTTATTGTCTGCACAATCTGTATTATGAGACGCACACATAGTTTGCGAAAGTGGGTTAATTTTCTTGCAATACTAGAGCGCATTGCTTAAGCTGCACATCAGCTTCTCCAATCTCTTCATCGCATGCACTTTCAGATGGTTAACACTTGCTGACTGCGTTTTTATAACTTCACTATCAGTTTCTACGAACATGAGAGTCACATTTTCACTTTCTTCTATCTCTACTTCAGGCACGTGAGAATCAAAATCTTCTTTCCCGTTTTTCATTTCTCATTCTTTATCTCGTTACATATTTCTTCCTTCATTTCTGGATCTTTCTCAGAGAGTTCATTAGCTGCTTTCTTCATTTATTCATCCTTTGATTTTTCAGATGCCACTTCTCTCATTTCCACATTGTCTTTCATGGCTCCAGTTTCTTCTATAAGCTCCACTTTCAGCTGTTGGAGTTGCTCTCGCAACTTTTCTCAGCCGGCTTTCATATCAGCTGTCATCTCTTCATAGCCAGCTTTTATCTCAGCATATCCGGCTTTCAACTCCTCCTGTCCGGTTTCCATCTTTTCTTGGAATTTAGCAAAGGTAGTCATGAGCTGTCTTAATATATCTTCTATTGGTCTTGTCACTGGCATTCACCTTCAAATTCTACTTCTGACACCAGTTGTTCCTTTATTTTTTTTTTTTTCGTACGAGGTTCGTGTGGATGTGGAGTGAATAATGACGACAGCACTTGATGGAATATCGAAACACACTTTATTTACCAATATTAATAAGGACAGCTCCAAAACACTTTTAGAGTCGTCGAAGATCTACTATAAACACGCTGGAACTATCAGCGACACAGCCTTCACAATGTCAGGAAATAACGGTGAAGACAGCTTCACTGCAAAGCACCAGAGTACATCTCCCGGCTCTGCTCGGTCGTTCTCAGAACTCCGCGTACTCTCCACACTACAGCTCGCGATGCACTCAACGACACACAGAGCACAGCTCCCGACTCTTCGGTTCAGTCGTTCCCGGAGCACAACACTCTCGACGATGCACTAACCGCGATAGACTAAAGATTCTTTCGGTGCACTTGACCACTCACTCGGCACTCGCTGACCGACTGTCAACTGGATCGACTCCACACGGACTAACTGACTTTATATAGCTTTCGGCTTGTGTTCGAGAACATTCTGGGCTTAAACTAAAGTTTCTCCATTCGTCCATGGCATATCGCCAAGTTTGTCGTCAAATGTCGCCAAATGTGGCATCCCTGCCTTCCTTGCTATTTGTGGCAACCCTAAACTTCTTTGCGGGGAAGCCATCTTACCGCGCCTGTACATTTCGTAACAATATTATTAAGACTAGTCACTACCTAACTACACTAGCATTGGATTCGGAAATATATCTGTGTCAGCGGAAAAATCAGACGTACGATGATCTAGAATTAGTTGAAAAGGTATTATCTGTTTTACATTATTTTATAATTGTTTTTAAAAAAGTACAATTTTAAATAATTAAAAGTTTAATATATATTATAGATAAGTAGATATATTTATTAATAATAATATAACAATACATTAATACAATTAATTACTATTTATGCATTTTTCTTGCCATTGAATGAAGCAAATTTATCAATTACTTCATCATAGTCGATCATTTCAAATTTTTCTCTTTCCACATTTAAAAATGCTAGATGACTTAGGGGATCTTGTCCCATCGTTGATTATAAATAGGTCAAAATTTATTTTAATTTTCTGAACGAACGTTCATAGCTAGAATTTGACAATGAAATAGTAAGGAATATTTGAAATGCGTCTCTTAGGTTTGGAAAAACATTTTCTCCATAGATCTGTAATAGCGTTTTAAGTTTAGTTTCTTTTCTACTGCGGAGTAACATTTTGCAGTCACATTCCCTGCTCAAAACAATTAGGGAATATTATTATGGTATAAAATAACCATATAATCGACAACCTTTTTAACAAAAGGAAATAGAAAAGAGTATAAAGGAAAATTTTAACGTTTACGAAGTTGGGAATGTGCAAACTTAGTCTGTGACGATGAAAACTGTGCGTTTTAGATAAGGAGTAAAGAGCGATGTGCAGCATTCCTTTTGTAGAAAGAGATTAAAAACAATTGACACGTTTTGAATGCTTTGGAGCAGTGAATATACGATGTCTCAGCAAGATGACTAATCGGTAGCCAGGAAGGCCATCAGTCGTTTACAGGAGAGTCAAAGACAATCCATTCTAGCGGAATCTTTAGGAGTTTCCCAAAACGTCATTTCCAGCTTATGGGAGTCGGTTTTGGGAAACTAGATATGTTTGAAAAATTCAGAACAATGTTGTGTTATCGTTTTAAAACAAAAAGCAAAAGCTATACGTCCATTACGGTTTTTTTTTTTTTTTTTTTTTTTTTTTTTTAACTACACTCACGTTTGTGAAAATTGCAACACCATGAAGGACTTACGCGAGTGAGCTGAAATTTTCAGGAAATGCAAAGTAGCGCATGATATGCAAATGATTAGAATTGCAAATCCGTAGCGCATGCGTATGCTGAGCAGCGCCCTCTGAACGGCTGATGGATCCGAATAAATAGACGGCTGTAGCGAGGCGTGTATGGTTATCGGTGGTTATCTGCTAGTGGTAAACGTTAACTCAATCTGTACTTATGCCTCGTCGACGAAAGAGAGCGAGATTTGAACAACTTACAGAATTTGAACGAGGGAGAATCATCGGCCTTCGTGAAGCTGGATTGTCGTATCGTGCAGTAGCCTCTCGTGTGCAGCGTAACAGCAGCACAGTGATGCGCGTTTGGAAGCAGTGGACGGACGAGTGTCGGACAACTCGGAAATCCGGGAGTGGACCCCGAAATGTGACGTCAGCTCGCGATGATAGACACCTGGTCCGCATGGCGCGGACTAACCGTACAGCTTCCTCTAGACAATTGGCAGCACTGTGGTCAATAGCTACAGGTGTTTCATTGTGTGCTTCATCAATTCGTAGACGTCTGCTGCAGTGTGGACTGCGCGCACGGACTCCTTTATACAGAATCCCCCTAAACGCACGACCATCGCCGCCTGCGGCTACAATGGGCCAATCAGCATAGAGACTGGCGTGCTGATTGGCAGCATGTCGTGTTTTCTGACGAATCCCGCTTTAATTTGTGGTACCATGATGGCCGCATTCGTGTCAGATGCTATGCCGGTGAACGCCACCTTGCGGAGTGCATTATCGAACGCCACGGTGGACGAACACCCGGAGTTATGGTCTGGGGCGCCATAGCATATCATAGACGATCTCAATTGCTACGAATTGTGGGCAATTTGAACAGCAACCGGTATATCCGTGAAGTTCTACAGCCCGAAGCTGTTCCCTTCCTTCAAAGCTTGCCAGGCGCTGTATTTCAACAGGACAATGCCCGCCCTCATACTGCTCGGATTGTTAAATCCTTCTTTGCAGCGCAGCAGGTACAGCTTCTTCCTTGGCCTGCGTGTTCCCCGGATATGTCGCCAATTGAACATGTGTGGGATGTCATTGGTTGGCGTCTTGCTCGTGATCCTCGTCCTGTTGCGTCTGCAGACGAACTTTGGGTACGCATACAAACGATATGGAATGCTCTTCCTCAGTCAGACATTCAAACTTTGTTTGACTCCATGCCACGTCGTATAGCAGCACTTATTGCGGCGCGTGGTGGCCACACAAAATACTGATTCTGATCTCTTGTTCTTGTTTGTTTGCTTTGAACATTTAATCATTTATTTGTACCACTACCACTCAACTGTGTATTAAATTGCATTCAATTATGACGATTCCTTCTTGGTGTTGCAATTTTCACAAACGTGAGTGTATATCTTTATTTTTAGAGAAATAAAGTGGTCAGAAAGAACATTTTGTATGCGGAGATGTACTGAAAACATTTTATTACCCATTTTATCAGACAAATCGAGAAAATAAATAATTAATTAGATTACAATAATTATTAATTTTGAATATATTTTCCAGAAATCGATCAAAATAAAAACTGAAATTTTCCGGAAAATATTGTTTGGAGACCATTTGGCGTCCCTCTGAGAGCGCCGGCCGGGGCATCATACACCCCCTTCCCCGCCCTCTCGCTACGCCACTGTCGAGTGGCTCCTAGAGATGAAGAAAAAATGAAAGAAGATTCCCTTTAAAGAGACTTATCTAACATTTTTATCGAAGAAAATTTCTCATCTAAACAAAAATTGCTTCCTTGTCTTTTTCTAGTTATCTCTCTCGTATCTTTCGTAATCTTTTCGTAATCTCTCTTTTCTACAAGTACAGTACAATTAAATTAAGTTTTCGTCTATTTTATGTGTTTATAGTTTATACTTAATACCATCGGTGGTCGAGGACCGAATTAATCCATTTTAAATAAATTATTATGGAAAAAATTGCTTTAATAACGAACATTTCGGTTGCCGAACGGTTTTCGGGATCGAATTAGGTTCGGGAATCGAGGCATAACTTTAGTTAAATATCCATTAATCGATACTCATTACTGATAATACAGAACGTTTTTATCTGTGGTACAAAACTCACGGAAACTATCGAAAAAGAAATTAGTGACTTAGATCCCTTTATACTTCGAATAGAAATTTAAATTTTTTTACCAGATTTTGGGAGGGGCTGCAAAATAAAAATTGTTGATTGGGCCATTAATATTTCTATGTTAGAGGAAACAACACTGAGGGCAAAATTTGTTGTTTGTTTCCGCTGAGAAATTAATCGCACTGTAAGTGCATAAACTGTACATCTGCAAATTTTGCACATAAATGTATGAACCACTTTTTAGTTAAATGTTTGCTATGCACAGTCAATAGAAAACGTTAGATTTTTATATTTATGGAATTTTCCACCTTTAATATCAAAACTGTGCCCATAAAATTCTCTTCTATATTATTCTGAGACATTTTAATTGGAAGTCCATGTCTAAAATTAAAATTTGAATAAATAATTCTTATATTTTACTCTGTGTAATAAAAAATATCCACTCGTTTATTATAATGTAGCATATCTTTTATCTTGATTAGATAAACGAATACTGTGTTCAACAGTATTTACCTTTCAGCGTTTATGATGACGATATCGGCAAACTTGCCTCTCTCGAGAGATCCGTGTGTACTTGACTTCCCTAGTGCAGCTGCAGCATTGATCGTGGCTGCATGAAGAGCTTCTGACATAGTCATGCGACATAAGACGCAAGCAAGATGCATCACAAGTGGCTAAAAAGAATATGTAAAGATGCAATAATAATAATATAAAGGTAATATGTTTGTTATTTTTAATTTGACATTGGCTTCAAATATTAATGATTTCTACTGGCAGTCGGTGGGAAGAAGGATTGAGCATATGTGGTCTTTATTGCTATAAAAGATGTTTCAGAAAGATTATACAGTTTAACATTTCTTGAAAGACAGGTCAGAGATTTAGATGGAGCCTGGCTCAGTTTTTTGGCTAAACCGTACTTATAATCGGAACATGGCCGAACCTCAAGTAAGATGATCTTTGTTTAATTGAAAGGTATTATAAACATAAAATTCTGTTTCTTTAATGCAACATATCTTTTTATCATTGGTAAAACAGATATTGATGCTAGCTGCCAAGGTTTGCTCTTGTATTACGTCATTGAGCTCTAGTCTGCTCAAAAGCAACTTCTTTTGGGTTTTTGTCTCCCACTTGTGTAAGTAAATGACTTTAGCTCTGGGAAGAGCAGTCACTCCTTCATTTGAGCCACACGTTCATGAATGATGCCTACCTCTACAACCAGCTCCTTCACTCTTCATCGCTATTACAAAATAATTCCAGAGCTTTTCCTATTGCGGTTCGTTTATTAAAAGACATATTGCCAAATCAGAAGACCTTTTTACTCCTTTTTAAGAATTCATCTTCACGAAATTTAATGCTATCTGTACGATAATTTTCAAAAATTTTATTGATTCAGGGATAGTGCTTCGGCCCAGGAACACTTTCTCTTCGGCCTTCGGCCACCTACGACTGTTGAAAAGAGCCTGACATTTTTTGTCTACTGACCTTGCCAGGCCAAAGAACATGCATTTAAAGGAGGAAAGATTTCACAGACGTAATGCAAACCAGTTTACTGCTGCGCCACTCATTCGTGGAGGGACAAATTTTCGTCGCCAAATCACCAGGTGTACATAAAACTGAGGAATACCGTACAAAACAAAAGAACCTCTAGGATTTGTTCTTTGACAAAACCTTTCGCGATAATTTAAATTCAGATTTTCGTACGTTATTTTATTCACAATAAATGATCCATTAATTAATCTACTTGCACGGATCATTGATTTGATTTACAGCGTGGAAAAAAATGGTGTAACAGAAGTTTGAACTCTTGACAAACGTGACTTTGACACTTCGGCATGTGCAAAAAGATGCTAACGCTGCATGGTTAGGTTAGGTTATTTGATTAAGACAAAGCAATCGAGGACTATCTGCTTGTTAAGGTTGGATTGGATAGCCTTGTAAAGTAAAACTACGAGCATATTTTTTCCCTCTGCGGTTGACGGAGCCACTTCTGCTTTGGCGAAGCTTTCGTGCGTAAAATACACGTTCTTTTGTCAGACGTCTTTCTTTTTCAATGCAGCAAAATGCGAAAGAAAACTTGAATACGTGATAGACAAATCGTCCATTACCAAATGATATCTCTTTAGAAAAAGAAGTATTTACGGAATTTACTCATCCGATTAAGAAGGTTTTAAATAAATAGGAAGCCATATAAAGAAGTAGCATTATCTAACCTCAGAGGATACTGTTTAAAACTTCTCTTTTCTTCTTTCATTTATTTATTTATTTTTTTTCCATTCTTTTTTAGGATGCCTTGATTTAACGGTCATCTAATTACCATTAGTTCATATTAAATAACAAATATTTAAATTTATTTTAAATACTATTTAATTTTATTTTTGAGTTATGAATTTTTACTTAATTATTTATTAATAATCATCATTTCTGACGACCTTCAACAGGGTTTTGATACTTCAAATTGTAGAAATTAAGCCCGTACTTTTAATTTAAGAAATAAATGCTATAAAGTTGTCTTTCAGATTACAATAGCTCGGTAACTATTATCTTTCAGCAAAATACGGACAGATTTTATACAGATCTAATAAATAACAGTAACACGAAAAGTGTTTTTAATAATCTGAATGAGAAAAACCAATAAACATGCATCCGTGAACACATTAAAATGTATAAAAATAAAATATAATGATTAATAACATTCGATATGATTTTCCAATTTTCAGACGGTAAATCGGAAACGTATGCAAAGCAAGGTTCTTTAGTATACTAAAGGTTAGGCCAGGAACCCAGGAACGGAAACAGTATGCCATTGGTTGCTGGTATTGACGTCACCCGAGTGAATCCATGGACCTTATAAGAAATAGAGTAACCCAAATGGGTTTTCTCCCTCGTCTGACGCGTTCCCGCCTGTCACCTTGGTCACATCCGAAGGAATAGGGACGACTTGCAGAAATTTAACAGTAGTTGCCTATTGCAACGTGTATAATTGTCAAGATAAAGTTGGTTGTAACGCCTCATTTCACAAATTAGAATTTCTGCATATTTTTATTTTTGAAAATGAGACTGATTTTTAAAAATTTAGCTTATTTATCAAGCATAATTAGCGTTCCAAATAATTATAGAGCTATTGCATGCTTTCAGGGGTGGATATTTTTTTAGCTTTTTCTATGCTGTAGGGAAATTTGTAACTACTTCTTTTAGAAAATAATATTTTTAATCTCAACTAATAGGAAATTTCAAACAAGCAATTTTTATGCTTTTCATTGGTGTAAAAAAAAGTAAAAAATACTAAAATATTTAAAAACGAAATTTTGAAAGTTTTGTTTTAAATTCTAAATTGTGCTGCTTTTTTAAAATTTATAGATGAGTATTATAGCACAATTTCTATAAAGGAATTTTATTTCAATTATATTTCATAATACATCATAGTGATAAACACTTTTGACTCCTTAATTTTTATACATTTAATTCTAATATTAAAATTGTATTTAACCGTAATAATTAATTTTGTTTGTATTTTACAGTGATTATTTTTAGTTCTGCATAAGATTTTTTTTTTTTTTATTTACGGTTAATTTAATTTATTAGCTCGAAGCGGCATTTTGCGCTGTTTCACTATAAATGTCCGTATCTCCTTGCAAATTGCTGTTACCAAATATTATCGCCCTGTATTATATTTAAAGAAATTAAATAATGAAGAATCTGCATGAATACATGTATGTTTCTCGCACTGTGACAAAAACGACGGTATCTAGAGCCATCAAATTTTGAATAATGTAATCCTCCACCCGAATATGGGCATCTGGACGGCCGAATTTCGAATTTGTTTTATTATCTATTTCATATTTTGTAAAACTTTAACGGATTTTTGATTAAAAAATTCAACGATTTTGTAGTGAGCAATGGCAACACTGTACGGAAAGTAACATTTTTATCTCCAGTGCGGAAATTCTAAAGATATGCTGTTTTCAAATGTTACGGGAGATGTTTCAAATGTGGTTTACGGGCGAAGAACATGATATTCAATAAATATAGGTAACACACAAAACTTAAAAAAAGGTTCTTTTTTGGCTTTCAGCACCCTTTTAGAAGTTGAACCAAGCAATTTTGCATTTAGATCTCGTACGTAGTTATCAGGTGTAAGATGAAGAGCACATATTCTTGCATTTTCGATGTTGGAATTATCTGATTTTTTGCAGCGAACAATCCATAACTTACGAAGTTCCGGATCACTTGGAAAATGATGGTATGTGATACCCTGACTTCTAGTTTTTCCTTCTAAATTCTGACATAACGATACAGCACAATTTGCAATTTCTAATCAGGTATAATAGCAAATCAACAACACAAATCAAATGAAACTGTTGATGCAACGAATGTAAACAAACGCCAAGAACTAACGACTGTCACTCACACGACGTCATGCGCACGCGGCATAATTTTCTCCCGGCACTTCGCATCGCTTTTGGGCCACCTCTGTATGCAGAGTACTATAAGCACAATTATTCTAAAATATTGTACAGACAAACATGAAAAGTCAATTATGCTTTCGCTGGGAACGGGGCCATGGGCTTAGATGATAACTGGACTTGATGACCACTTATACAAAGGCAACACGCGTAGGGGAATGCAAAAAATTCCTTATGATGTAAATTTCTAAAAAATCCATTTTTTACCAGAGAAAAGTGAAAATACATAAACAGGGAAGACATATTTCCATTTACACAAATGAATTTTTTTAAATGAATTTTCAAATGAATTTAGAATAATTTACTTATAGAATACATTTTTTTATATGTGACCAATGCAATCAACATATCATCTATTTCTTTTCGTTACGTAAAAGTCATTTAAGTCATTTAATTTTGATAAATTTCTTCGCAGTCAGTTTTGGATATTACAGAACCAGTTTTATTTGAAGGCAATATTGTAGGAAAGAAGATCCAGTATTTACTTTGGGAAGGAGACATATGGCTCTCTGGCATTGACTAAAAAATATGTTCATGCATTAACGCAAAATTGTATTTTGTAACCTACTTTTGACCCCACCCTCAAATGAAAAAAAAAAAATCAAATAAAAATCTAGTGATGTAATTATTTGTTTTCAATCTCCCCCACCGTAAAAATTTTCTGCGGACGCCCATTTTTTGTGCACTGTATAAAAAATTAATTTTAGTCTTTAGGAAACCTAAAACTTAAACAAACCTTTATGATAAATCAAAGTTGATATGGTTTATCTTTGTCACTGTATGCTTGCATTGGCCACATGATTATGATCAGAAGGGAAAATTTCTCTTGTTGATTTCAATTAGTAAATTTAATTTGCCTGCCGATAGGTAACGGTACTTCAGAGTTCTGGTTTGGAAGCATCTGTAATTTATTGCAACATTGTTTCCGAAATATTATGTACAGATTTAATCAGCATTCCTCAAAATTTCAATTTCAGGGGATATTAATCAAATTTTGGAAGGCAGGTCAAATACCTTAATACGGAAAACGTAACAATAACTAAGATGCAAAACGTAAAATCAGAATATAGGCGCTCTATTTTTCATTTTAAAGATGAATAAAAACTAATTAGTGCGAAAATGAATAGGTTGCATGCAGTATTGAACCAAGAAATAAAAAAAGAAGCTTTCTGGAAAGAATGTCCTTGGTCTACCCAAGAAGCAGAAAAACAAAGGGATATTCCTTAAGGGACATCCTCTTAATTCTAGAATCAGTACTAGATGACTGAATAATTCTTGAGGTAAAGAATGCCCACGTCTTGTTGATGTTTTGTTCGCCTTAACTCGAAAAGAAACCTTTTATGGATTTTGAAACAATTTCCGCAGTTATGTATGAAATTCGATATCATTTTTTTTTTGTTTTGTTTTAATTTAAATACTTAATTATTGGTTTCTTTTAGGAAGTGCCATTCACCTTAGCGACGCCACTAAATCTAGCAATTTAGTTTTAATATAATTTTCGTGTAGCAGTTGTCCTAAATATAAGGTCCAAATGATATGATAAAATTTAACATGTCTCACATTTATTAATGCTTTATTCATAGTATTTAAATAATAGCGGAAAAAACATTTATTAAGAGCGATGACATTTTTTAAAAGCATTTGTAACAACTATATGGCATGAAATTAACAAAATTAGAGCTTGACATATATTTAAATCTGGAATAACAGAAAATGAAAATTTGCGTAAGTATTATCCACATAGCTACCCAATCTTTGCCATCAGCTCTTACATTTTTATAATGCCGCACGAGAGTGCAAAGCCCTAGTGTTGATATTGTCTATATAGTTAATCAACAGAAGCTATAGTATGGACTTTAAAATGCGGAAAGATACGTAATAAAGTAATTTTTTCTAAAGGAATTTCTTACCATGGCAAGGCAGAAAGCATTGGGATTAAAATCTGATCCTAATGCAATTGGAACTCCTGCTTCAACCATTTTGTGAACAGGTGGAGGTTGCAATTTTAACATGTAAGCAGTAGTTGGTAAGATGACAGCTATCGAGCCACTTTTAGCCATGGCTTGGATTCCAGTATCACTTATCTCTTCTAGATGGGATATAGCGTCTGCTTTCAACTCTGCTCCCATCTAATAAAAATAAACTACATTAATTTTTTTTTCATGAGTTGAATAGTTGTTTGTTCTGTTGTTTATATAGTTGAAAAACGATATCTATTAAAAAAGAGTACCAGTAAAAATTATAGCTCTTCACAATCATGATATTTTAAGGGAGGAGGGAATAGAAACTCAAGTTTTAAGTTCGAATTGCTAAATGATACCTAAACCTTTTACTTTGATTTATGCGTCCATCGTACGTTTCTTCTCGTATTAAAAAAAAAATCTATACTTTAAACAAACAAGAACTTAAAGTAGCTAAAATTTTAATATATCTGTAAGAGGAAAACTACATTAAATGGAACTGAAAATTAAGTAAATTCCTGGACATTTTACTTTATTTAAAGTTAAGTTATTCTAGCTTAAATACTGTTTTAAACCCAAGAAAGCGTAAGAACTAACTACACACATGCATATACAAGCAACAAACAACTCGCATAGTAAACATACGCACCGACTAAAAAATGGCTCACATTATGTATGAATCATGGGAGAATTGTATCACAATAAATGAAAGATAAATTTGTTTTATTTTATTTCTTGAACAACGCCTAAATACAGAAAACTCCTCTGTGCGTACACAAAGATAACCAGAAAAGAGCGGGCAAATTCATATATTTTTAATATTGTGTTACCAGGAAGAACTGGTAATTATCTTCAAGTCGAAAGTTTATTCAGTCAGAAGTGAGCAGAAGTCCAGGTATCACCCAAACAATGGTATTCCGATAAAATGAGGCTGATGTGTTCAGTGGCAATACTACGCATTACTTCGCGACCATCATAGAGAAGAGAGAGACCACTTTAAACTTGAACTTTTAAAATAACAAAGATTGATATGGAAGAAGGTCAAAAAAGAGTTGAGTCTTACACTTTCCACTGAAAATCTCAGACAAAATTGAACTAAAAAACTAAAAGGCTATGTACATACTTAGCGTACGTTAATATTTTTAAAACTAATTCATTAATAAATTCCCTTTTTAAAAATGTTTTACGAATTTTGGACCAATCTTGGGAACAGACTAAAACTATTCTCGTAGTAATTAATGTACGGGAAAACAAATCCCGTGTGACGAAAGATATCGGGAAATGGATTATATTTTTAATGCGAGGCTCTTTTTTTCTTATTGTATAATTATATTGTTATGTGCGTACGGGTTCGTAATGGAATGAATGCACACAGAAACGGAGGAAAAAAGGGGGAAAGCAGGGGAAGTAGAAAATAATAAAAGTATTAATATAAACTAATTTAATGTTGAAGTCATAATAAATAAATATGCATAGTTCTTAGTAATTAATTTATAATTATACGGAGGCAAGTCAAAAAGTAAGTTACACTTGAGTAAAAATGCCACAAAGTAAACGGATAAATGGAATAAAGTTTCTTTATTGAAACAACATAAGTCCTTTTTCGATGCAGTCTCCAAAGGAATTGAAACATTTATCTCACCGTAAAATTATGTTTTCTATTGCAGTAAAATAGAAATGTCATTCAGCTTTTCCAACCATTTCAATACAGCCAGTTTAAGTTCGTTATCGATCCGAAAATGTCTTCATTTGTCCAAACAAATGAAAATTGTACAACCCTAAAAGTCAGAACTGTATAATTGGCGGGTCCATACCTCCCATTTGAATTTTTTGTAGCAACGTTTATGCATTCTGAACTGCTTGGGGTTTGGCATTATCGTGAAGAAGTATGATGCTATCACTTAATTTGTACGGAGACTGTCTTTGATTGCTTTTCTCAAGTTAAGTAATGTTTTGCAATATAAGTCGACTGTTATTGCCGTCCCTTTAGCCACGAATTTGATGCAAACGACATCTTCATAGTCGAAAAACACGATGGCTACGACTTCTCTGCAGCTGACGGTTGAACTTTGGGTATTTGCCTTGTAGGAGAGGTCTTGAGTAGTCCTCCATAATGGAGCGTTTCATTGTGGGGGTGAAGTGGTGAAACCACGATTCGTCTCCTGTGATTATGCAAAGTAGGAGTTTGTTATCTTCTGTAGCACATGTTTGTAGAAGACTGAAATAGGACCATTAAAACATGTGGCACGCATGTCGTACACAGCTTTCGATACTGCAGGTGTTCGTGAAAAATGAAATACGCACATCCACATGGAATGCCTAACACTCCTTAATTTTTAAGCGTCGATTGTCCCGGAGAACGTGCTCCACAAACGCAGACATTTACAACTCTGATGGAGATTGATGATTGCCCTGGATGTTAATCGTCAGTGATATCGCTGGGGCCATTTTCAAATTACCCACACCACTTCGAAATTGTGGCCATGATATTGCTTGCTTGACATAAACAGCAATAATTTCAGATTGAACTTCTGTGCAATTCAAGCATTTAATGCATAAAAAAGTGTAGTTCCTCTTCCTTCCCACTTGAGTATGGATGTAGCTCACGCGAGGTTAATAACCTCTCTCCAAACACATTCAATGGAAAAGTACCAACTAGCTACCTTTCCTTCAGAACTCTTATGTCTATTTTGCGGCTCCGCGAACTTACTACGCTTTATTTACAATACGTTGCTAACTTACGTTAAGTGTAAATTACTTTTTTATTTTCCTTCGTAAATGAATTCTTAAAATTACAGACAAGTATGTATGATTATGTAATAAGAAAAGGAACATTTCAAAATATTTCGCGACCTTTCTTCCGAGAACTGCTCTAAAGCATTTGAGATTCTCATCTATACAAATATAAATATTGTGCGCTTTAATTTAAGTTTACAATACTTTGAAATTTATCATAGATCTAAGCTTGTAAAGTCCTACAATTTTATTTGGAGTGGAATTTCATTGAAAATTTAGCGTATCCTGGCAAGAAATCAAACTTTCTCTTCAGTGCACTGGATTATTATGTTGGCAACTACTCCACAAGAATACATAACAGAAATATTTTTCCCCTCCCCAGTTAATAGGCAAATAGCCCGAGGCTTTGTCATAATCACACACACACACACACCTCCCCAGTTTAAGGACAGATGGGTGAGGAGAGGATCTACAACCGGTCAGTCCAAGTCAATAACCAGTGATCACCCACTATATTTTCAGTTTTCTTGCTGCTATAGAGATATTAGCATTTTTAAATCGAAGAACATTTGAAAACTTCACTACGTCTGAAGAGAATGAAACCCAGTATTATGTACTGAACTATTTCACCAAAAGCATAAATACCTTTAATTCCTTACAACCTAAAGGATGTTTTTAATTCCTTACAACCTGAGCTGTATAATAGAGTTCTTAGTGGGTACATTAAAGCAGCAAATAATGATAGAATTTAAAGCTAGACTATTTGACAAAATATATATCTTTAATGAAATCAATTTATTGGGCAAGGAACTAACACTATATGCAACTATTTCGTTATAACTTTCTTTATCAAAATTATTATTTATTTAATTATTTTGTACTTTCAATAGCTCCAATATTCACTATTCAGAAATAATCTAAAGTTCTTAGGTCTGTTATTAAGTTCTACCTACATTAAGTTTAAGTTCAGAATACCTCTGCTGCCCCTATCGGATGTAATTCATCTCCATGGAAGTTAAGTCTCAGCCCCATTTCTCTACCAGCATCAAGTATCCGTCGTGATTGCTGGGCATCGAAGACACCTTTTTCACAAAAGACATCGATGCTGTCTACACTGATTTCTCCAGAATCCATTAACTTCTGGAGAATAGGTAGATGCTGATTCAGAATTGCTTCGGTTGCTTCATCAGAAGTCATGCCGCTAAAAAAAAAAAAAAAAAAAAAAAAAAAAAAAAAAAAAAAAATTATCTATTTAAGCAGAAAATCAATGTTATGTAATATTAAATAACTGTCGGTTATACATTTCGTGTGTCCAGCACAGGATGCCTTCATATAAAGCGTAGCCCAATTTTTACACTTGCATCCGTCTGAAGAGGAAAATGTATGCAAAAATTTAAATAAACACAGCTATTTTCTTCGATAAAGCTTTTCACTCTTTTCATATTTTTAAATCGCGCAGTCATTAAGTTTATGATTGGGATTACCACTAGACACCGCAGTGAAAGCCCCTCGGCTATTGTATTTTATCATATTGTATCCCGGTCTTATTTGGTGCATGAAAAATTCATGCATTAATGAAACATTTAATCCTTTTCAGTCTTCAAGGTAGAAATTAAGGACTCTAGTTGAAGTTATTGAAGTTTTTATTTCCTAGTTTCTAGTATTTCAGATTTTCCAGTAAAAGTTTCTAATATTTTTTCTTTCAATCCAAAATTTATCAAATTTGAGAAAAGATGGCTTTTAAAATTTAATTTCAGTTCTTCTTTTTGTCAAGAGCAGCAATACCTCGCATAGTTCGATTTTGATCAACTCAGATTCATTTTAGATCGGTTTGAATATTTCTAAACAAATTAATTTAATTGAGCAAAATCAAAATAAATTCTAGAAAATTAGCACATAGGATTATTTTCTAATACATAAATAATCGTTTTCCACCTTTATATTAAAATATTTTGGTCGGTTCCCTTTTACGCGGTTTTAAAATGCAATGAGTACATATTTCAGCTTTTAAACATATTAATTTAATTGAGCAAAATCAAAAGAAATTCTAGAAAATTAGTTCACAGAATTATTTTTAATACATAAATAATTGTTTTTCACCTTTATACTACAATCTTTTGTGAGATTCATTTTTACGCGGTTTTTTTTTTAAATTATGCGACGAAGTACATAGTTCAGCTTTTCCGGGATTCTATACCCTGACCATTCGTTCTTGAACTTTCACGATAATTATCAGCTGAGCAATTCTAAAAAAATATTGGAATGATTGAAACCTTCTCAGAGCATATAGAAGTTGATTTCGATTTTGAATATAGCCTTAGAGTTCTCCGAACGGTAAACCATGCAATTCGTCATTACAAAGTAATGTATGCAGAGAAAAAGGCAAAGAAGAAAATGTGCACATAAAATCGATATTGCAGATTGAGAGAATCAAAAGTGAATTTCAAAATACATGTGTTTTAAACAAATATTTTTAATTAATGCATTTTAATTTAGGAATCGTGCTTTATTTATTGAAAAACGGGGGGGGGGGAGTTATTTTTTGTACATAATGAATTCCCGGTTAGATCCGTTTCAAACAATCCGGGATATTGGTGGAATTGATTATTCGAATTATGCGAGATATTATTGTATCTAGACATCAAACCGGAAGAAAAATATGTTAACAAAAATTAAATGATGAGATTAAAAGCTTGCTTTATTTTATGCAAAAGGAGAAAATGCAAACAAAAACTTGTGGTAGAATATTTTAGACATGCATTACTTGGGAACAGCATGAGCACCACAGAATGTAGATGATAATTCCACCGAACTTCTCTTTTTTGCTTGTTCGATAACTCGCAGTATTTTCATTTCCGTTTCTGGATCCAGTCCATAGCCAGATTTAGCTTCGACTAATGTAGTTCCAGCTCTCAACATTTCCTCCAACCTTGCTAGCAATAAACGCAGTAACGTTTCTTCAGATGCCTGTCTCGTATGTTTAACTGTATGGTAAATTCCACCTCCAGCTTTATGAACATCCATGTATGTTGCTCCCGCCAACTAAAAATAATTTTTTCCACATTGTAAATTAAAAAGAAAATCATACTAAGAAAATTACAAAAATCAAAATTCGTGTCTATGTATTTAGAATGGTGCGTGAAATGTCAAAGAGGATGAAAATTCGAAGAGGTATGGCCGAAAGCTCAACCTTAATAAACCCTTAATAAATTTATTACTCAAATCCCCTTCGAATTCCTCGAATAAAGACGTAATAGCTGCTCTCTGCTCTACTACGTTTGCCACATTATCATCACTAGAACAATACGCAAACCTTATGACCATTCTCAGCTCTACTGAATTTATTGATATTTTTATAAAACGTTGCATAAATTTTCTGCTGCATTTGAGAACATCTCTATGAAAAACTGCAGGGATTAAGAATGCCTCCACACTGAACCGTGCTTAAATATAAGCTATTATACGAAAATATTCATTCAAAAAATTCAGAGCTCGATGTGATATCCTCTCAATACCTAGCGTTTTCAAGAGCAGTAAATTGTAGCCTTGAAAACATTACCGATTTCATGTATGAACATTCAGTCCTTGGCCGCCCTGAAATCAGTTATCATAAGGAGAGTTCGCCTTCCTTGAAGAGGTTGTATGCTAACAAGGTTCACATGTTAAATGAGTCATGAATATTGGCTCTGTGATACTCTACACATTAAAAATTTATTAAGACATTTTCAGTGTATGGCTCTTCATGTACCATTGTGTACCTTCTTACAACATTCATGCCGATATTCAAATAAAATTTTTTAAGTGATGATGGCATAAAAAGTGTTTGTAAAAGAAGACTATAGGCTTTATTTCCTTAAATACTGTTAAGAGTCGTCGGAGGCATATGGAAGGCCATCAGTAAAGGTAAGCGAAATTAAATGAATTCAAATAATGAATATTGAGTATGCAAATTAAGCAAAATGTAAAGAAATTTAAAAAAAATTATTACATTAAGTTAAATTATTAACGAATGATTAAATAATACATTATGATGCTTTTGCTCATCTTATTTGGGATTCCAGAACGAAAAGTAATCCGAGGTGGGTTTTGGTGGGCTCCGACTAATTCAAGTTTCTGTTCTGTATAAGTGTCTGCAGTTAAAAAGTGTCTTGAATTTAAAGTGAAAAAAATTCACAGAATGATCTTTACTCTGTGGATGGAAAGGATTCTGTGAAGAATATCTGTCTTTGTAGACGAAGCATTACAATTAATAAGATAATAATTGTTATTTTAATGAATTACTCAACAAGGCCTATCATTACGCGTAAAAGCACTCAACGCGCGCTTCATAAATATTTTCAATAAAAAATTAAGAGGCCATTTACATATTTAAGGATGAATGCTACTTTATTCGGAAACGAAACTAATCGCCGAAATGAGGAAATTTTGTTTTCTAGCTCTTCCATAAATTTTTTCCTAAAGTTTTGAATTTTAGTTGGCAATGTGTATACAGAAAATGACCAAGATTAATAAATTTGGTGCTGAATATCTTTTGAATTCTGTAGATAAGAGTAAGATATATATATTTTTTTAAAATTAGAAATTCGGTTTTTAGCTATTCATAATGAAAATTTTACTGTTTGGAAATTTAAATCTTCAATGTTTATTCAATTATTAGATTTAATTAATAGATTAATTTAATGAAACTCTTACCAACCCATATTCTTGGGATTGCTTTGCAAAATTCACTTTGATTTAATATAAAATATTCAGTTAATATAAATAATTTTATTTTGACAGAGAAAATAAGTTATTATATATAATAAGAGTTATTAATAGATAATAAGAAATCGAATTGGATCTAGTTTTTCATACCAATCAAAGACGTCGTGCATTCTTTCTTATTTATTTTTCTTCCATTATTTAATTTAAATTTTATTTTACTGCCTCATTTTTCACCAGCCGGTGATATAAACAGCAGCCCGACACATTATGCGTATATCTTTCTGCAACATAGAGACTATGAAAAGAATAATACAAAAGGTTGCTAAATTTATAAAATGTCTTTATATAAAGATATTTTTATGCGCTAAAAGTCTAATTTTTTGTAACAAGAAGAGAATAAAATATTCGAAGGAACTTCATTCCAGATTCTCCAGAATGATAAAAAGGGCTTTTTATATAAGTAATTTTTTCAACGACTGCACCATCCCCATCTTCCTTTATAAAGGAAAGCTACCAAAATAAATTCAAAAATCTGATATTAATAACAGATCGAATAAATATTCTGGTCAAGAAATCTTCGCATAGCCGACTAATTAATAGTTTACTAGTTATAATAACACTGCTACGTGTTATTATAACTAGTAAACTATTAATTATTATTAATACTAACTAGGTTATTATTAACACTATTATTAACACTAACTAGGTTATAGTTTACTAGTTGTAATAACACTGCATGGAAGGATGACACTTACAGGCGGACGTAGTCGTAGATTCACCGTGTACTTTGTATTTCTTTATGAAGCAACTCTTTAGATGTATCTGATTCACATCATTATGGGCACAATATGCACTCCACATTTTTGAAAGTTTAGCTCAATGGATGATATACAATAGCTCAATGATGGTATACAGAAGTGAGCAGCAACCCGTTGTTACTCAGAGCAAGGAAAAACATGAAAAGGGACTAAACGCACTTCAGCAGAAACTTGAAATACAGAGTCAAAAGTTTTAGTTCTTAGTTGAAATCTTTAATCTGACATGAAAAGACATCTGGATTACGTAAGGTAGTATATGACGTGGATTAATTCTGAAATGACACATTTTAGACTGATACGTTATAAATAGTTACTATTTTTAGGACAGATGGGGGAACGTACCCATATTGAAATGAAGAATAACGGGCTTAAAATTAGAGATTTGCTTTCATATATATTTACAAGCTATACATGTATAAGTCATATATATATATGTTATATGAATCGGGATCTTACTGTAGAATCAATTTTAATTTAAATTTTTTAATTGTTTAAACTTACTTTTATTAATTTTGCATTTTTAAATTACAAATTCCATTTTTTGTTTCCACAATAGTACATATTTACAATTTAAATTTTCCTTCGCATTTCTTAGAAAATAATTTCGTCATTTATACATTCTCTATTAAATTGAAAATTTTTAATCTTCGCAGCGATAGTGCAAGATTTTACTTAAGTCCTTTTAAAGTAAATTTTGAAATTCCTTAAATTTAAGGTTTTTTTTTTTCCTTGTATTTCTTTAATATGTATATATGTGTACACATAAGATAAAAAGTACGTAAATCAATGCAGTAGCCCCTTAATACTTCATTTTAATTTGGGTAATTAGTTCTGTTCTAAAAACAGTAACTGCGTATAATAAACTTCTCTGGAATGCGTCATTTCTAGATTAATCCATATCATATGACTTTTCCACAACGCTTTGACGACAGTAACTTACGTAAGCTTTCAGCCAACTGGAATTTTAGAACTTTATAAATTATCCAATCAAAATGATATCGAAGTAGAAACTAACGCACTCAATTAAGATTTTGTCCTGAACACATCTGACTTTGCATCTCCTTTTCGACCAAGACCGATTTTGCATCTTTTTCGACTCGAGTCAGATTGCTGTTTCTTTCCTTAAAATTGTAAATATTTTGAAACAGCTACGATTGTACCAAGTTACGTGTAGTGTATTTGTGGTCGCAAATGTTAATTAAAGCAAAAATGAGCATTTAATTCAGACACGACTGCAAAATGCTTCTTAGTGCATGTACATGACTTCAAGTACGGATCAACTTGAATCAGTCAACATTCCTGAGTTATTGTTATTACATGTATATAAATGGACTTTAATTTCATCTGAAATATAAACCAAAATATGGAAGTATAAAATATAAAAAATTACCTTCATCGAAAATTCGTCCACTCTATCTCCTGCCCAGACAGGATGTGTATGAGCATCCACTAGTCCTTAAAAATATTTTATGATTTGAATTAATAAAAACTAAAAAATTCAAGGTTATTTGTACAAAATACCATACGTTGTAGGTCTGGAATGTGATATGACATTTTATATCGAGAATCAAGAACATATAGTGCAAATACAATAGTACTTGTTATCAAATTCACACTATTCCATCATTTTATTTTAGTTAAGACCATTTGTTTGCGGCTTTCAAGTGTATTTAAAATGAAGAACACTAACATGGAAATTCAACTGTATGATAGCATTATTCGACATTTGAATAAAATCTGAAAACTGGTTTTGAGAAGAATAGCTGGGAAATACGTCTGAATGATAAAAAGAAAATAAAACAATTCATTTTCTCGCACGTTAAGATCTAATTATTTTAAACTGTTTGCGTAACTTAGAGCTTCATTTAAAAGAGAATATTCGGCCCACCAGCGACCAAGTGGTAAGGTAAAGTCTGTAAACGCTGGTAGTTTTTTTTTTTTTTTTTTTTTTTCAATGGCAGATTGTGAACAATTACAAATGTAACCCATTAATCTATACAAGTCCATTAATCTATACAAGGCCGAATGTGGTGGCCTCTTTATTATGGAGGCACCTGATAGGGGAGCCCACCATCACCTTTCCTATGAAGGGACGGACAGTTACAGCCATGCCTTCTCCGGGATTCGAACCCAGGCCCTTCGGCATCGCAGTCAGCTTCCCTGACCACCATACCGACTGAGCGGCCTGAACGCTCGTAGTTCCGATCTGGTTTCGATTCCAGGCGAACTGCATGAGTGTTTTCGTGGCATTTTCCTACGTATGACGTGTTATTCGAGCCAGTTTCCCTTAGAAAGTCCTCCACGAAGTTATCCCTTCTTTATAGGCAGATAGCCCTCTCGTGCTTAGCCATAATTTAATAAATTAAACAAAATAAAACCAAAAGAGAACAAGCGGAATTTTTCACCTCCTTCCTCCAGTAGAGTTTCTCCCTTTTCTTCAGAAGCAGAGGCATTGGCAAGCATTTTAAAAATGCCTTTCTGCCAGCCATCTTCAACTTGATATTCTTCATTAACGCGACGATTTGTGTTACATAGCAATACTTAACTGTTGACGTAACTGACGATTGCAATTTTTGTCTGTGCTATAATTTCTCATTTAGACTTTCATTTTCAAGCAATCCGCAGTTATTACGACTTGTTTTTAAACTATTATTTGTTACATTGCTACAATTTTTGTATATGTGCAAATAATTTTAGTGAAATTATATGTAAATTGCAGTATCTCTTGTATAATGTACCATGAAAGGCCACAGAAATGCGAAGATTTGATGGAAAAATAAGATTACAGGTATAAGTCCATTTAACAGTAAGGTAAATGGCGCCATGTTGGCCTAATCCCCGTATAACTGTAACTGGATCCGGTCCTATGTAACTGTAACTGTGTATGATTTTCAATTTCGAGAAATCAAATCACGGGAAAACTTTACAGAACCAAAAAAGCATCAATTCTCAGTTTAGGAGTTTAGCTCTGAGTACTGAGAGATCGCTATGTAAGCTTACGCAATGAGCCTTTGCATATTCTCTCAGGTACAATGTTCTTAGCAGTTTTAAGGATAACTACTGTTTGTGCTCTGTCGTACTGAAAAGATCTGTAAGAGTACTTTTGTGAAAAGTTCCAGAATTTTATAAAGTGTTTCTTTTGGGAAAATAAATTTTATCAAGCTGTCACCGGTTCTGTGTACATTACGAACCTGCACACATGTAATAATATTATCCTCTACTCTGTTCTACATTTCTTTCACGTATTCGACTATATCTAAGACAAGGATTTTTTTTTTTTTTTTTTTTTTTTTTTTTTCAGAATTCAGTAATCTGTATTCCTTGTGAGTCGAAAAGCGCTATTCTGTTAGTGGATATACCATGCTGGTATTTTAGTTTAATAGATTTAATAATTGTGAGCAGAGCTACGCTGAATGTGAGGCAATTGAGACACTTCCCCAAGGTAAAAAATGAAAAAGAGCGCAAAATGAAAATATAGTGACATATGTTAATGTAAAAGTGTAAAAAGCGTTGTAGAGAGCGCAATTTTTAAGTTTTATTAAGGCATATTGAAAACTTTTGGTGCAACTCAGATTCCAAGATTTATTTTTGTATTTGCAGATAAAAGCAAAAGCAAAAAAAATCAGCATAACTAATTAATGATATCGTTGGATAACATAAAGTGTTGTCCAAAATGAATGTCAATTTTCTCGGAAGCAATATAATTTATGTTTTAAATTCTAAATAAATTTTCTAATCCTGTCTCTTAAAAAAGTAGCGCCTATCGTCCATAGCTTTCGGTTTGCAAAATATTCTCCTTTCAGCTAATATTTATTAAAGTTTTAAAACTTTTGAACCCTAAGATCGTAATTCTAACTGTTATTGAAGGTTTTTATTTTTCTAAAACACTGATATACAGTATTATCTCATTATCATTTTCTTTCAGTATCATGCGCATATTAGTCTGAATCGCAATAAATTTTCTCAAACTCAAATTCCAGCTTCGTACGGTTTCCGAATGCGCGATCTGAAGCAGCTGACAAGCCGGAAAATTTTTATAAATAAATTTAAAAAAATTTTTTTTTTCACTTTCTTAATATTTAATCAAAACATAAATAATAATAATACAAAAGGAAGAATTCAAATTTATATTTACTTTCTATCTGAAATCTAATGGTTGTTACTGGCTAAAATATTAATTTTTCAGACTTACACTTATTTCAAATAATTCTAATATATCCAATTAAGCCCTAATTACTTAAACTACAAATGAACAAATTATGAAAACCTTCCAAGTTAGACAAAAGAGAATAAATAATGACAACCTACACTTTCTTTATTTATAAAATTTTCTTCGATACAATTAGAAAAAATACGCATGTCAGTATATAAATAATTATATACTTTTTTATTTCTTACAACGACTTCACATCTAATGGTGTTTCGATTGTGATAAGTTTATAAACTTGGTGGAAACTTACTAGAAACTATCTTCATCACGATCATCGGTTTCTTTTCTTAGAATTAAGTTTTAACTGATAAAAGGAAAAAAAAATAATAATAATAAAGTATTCCGAAACAAAGCAATTCTTATTTCAAAAATTCATGACCGAGTGTATTTATCTTTTCATAAAGCACAAATAAAAAGTAATCAAAGTTGTATTCTTGAATAAGATTAATATCACTTTGTCAATTAATTTGCACTTGTAGCTTTACTTGTTGTTTGGTTGTTCTCGTTCATTCTCAAGAATAATGCAAACAATGTAAAATCGGATTCCAATTCATAAAAATATCTACATCTTTCTTTAAAGTCTTGGCGCAATACTTTTTCTTTTTTCGGAAAAAACTAATTTCTTAATACTGAGGATAAAATGATTCCTAAACAAAGTGGAGTTTTTGCCGCCTCGGGCGGTATATGAATTTTTGATCCTGTTGATATACAAACAAATTATCGAGTCATTGTTAGGTTATTTTGAAGCAGAAGATGTGAAAAATGTGCAATGCCCTCCCCAGGAATCGAGCCTGTACCTCTCAAATATACGCCGAGTGTACTACGCCACGAAGGCATGCCGGAAGGAAAGAGAAAATATCTTATATACTTTCAGAGATCGACTGGGGATTAGAGAACCCAGTTCGCAGATACTGGTGGTGACGAATTATTATCCACCATCCTTTATGTTCGGGCGCCAATGTAGATTCATTAGGTTAGTTAGGAGGAGGAGATATGAAAAATGTGCAGTGCGCTCGACAGGACTCGAACCTGGACCTCTGGTATACGCGCCGACTGCGCTACTGTTACACCACGAATGCATTCCTTAAGGAGGGAGAAAATATCTTATAAAGTAACGAAAAAAAATGTCTAAATGACATACAAAGAAATAAATTAAAATTCTACTTTCATTTTGAAAAAAAAGGAAAAGAAAAGAAAAACACCTTGATTCCAAATTTCAGAATTATATTATTTATTATCATATTACTTGTTTTTATTGATAGCAAAACCATCAATGACGTGGTAGAGATCTACGTGATTGCTCCACTTACTGTTATGTAGATTGTATGGAAAGATTTCTTCATTGCAAAATAAAGATTTATAGTTCCGAAATATTTTTTAAATGATTTTTATTCAGAAAACTGTTCTCACAACTAACAGTAACAGCAGCTCTGAGGAAAGTTCGTAATAGTATTACAATATTTGAAACTTTATTCTGAAGAGTGTATTTTGGAATAAACTGAAAAATTCAGAAGGACCTTCCTTGAACGTTCCTGTTTCGTTTTCCTTAGCAGTAATGAAAATAAAACCCTGAAATCCTCCTCTTTGAAGGAAGAATTCTTCCTTGTGAATGCCACCGCGATTACAAAAGTTTCGACGGAATATAAAAAAGGTATAACAAGAGTATGCAGCTGGTGAAATCTCGTGGTGATTTCTTTAAATATTTTATCTAGAGTAAAAACAATTTTTCGACTCAATTTAATTCCCGTATGGCAATTTAGTATCTCATTATTCTTCCTGTGGCTTTACGATCGGCGCGGATAAGCTCTGCAAAATGATGTCTCAAGCGAAAAATGCCGTCCGCAAAAAATATGCCGCCCAGGGCGAACCATCCCTCTCTAGCTACTCCGCTACCTAAATACTGTGACATTACCCTGTGTTTTGATATTTCCCGTAGAAATTTTCTTTATTCTGATGGTTTTATGATAGTATTTTTTCCAATAATTCCAATTTTGTTCTAATTTTCGCAATATATATATATATATATATATATATTTTTAACATATACTATATATATATTTAAGCCTATGTCCAGTTAATCCTCCCACAGTTAATCGGGAGTCAACTGTATTAGAGAATTTGGTTCCTGTGAAAAGCAGTAAAATTTCGTAATAATCCGAATATAAGATAATGTCATATGTGATGAGCTTGCATTTTTCGAAGGTATTTTAGGGGGAAAAGTGGCATTTACATATAGCTTCACATATGTGAGCCTATCTTATTGTGAAACTTTTGTATAGAAAGGTAATTCAGTAATTTAAATATCACACTTTTAGTTGAAGCAAAATAATCGCACTTTCTTTTAACTTCAAAATTAAGAAATATGAGGAAAATTACTATACCTTACAAATATTAGGAGCTGCTTACAAAACAGACGAACTTAATAACAGGGTAAAATTTACGGGGAAAATATGAAGATATATCTAAGTTAGTATGTTTCACTAAAGTGGTAAAAGAAAGTTGAGAAGTAAGTACAAATATCTCAATTGATATAAAAGACAGCCATACCTGGAAGAACACATTTTCCTGATGCGTCAATTTTATTTAAAAATTTAGCAGATTTGTATTTTTCTGCGATTTCTGTATCAGGTCCTATATCACTAATATAGCCATCTCTAATGAAAGAAAGGTATAGAAATGCAATAAAGTAGATGAAATTTAAACAGAAAAGATCAGAAGCTTTGCATAAAATTCCATTTTACCTGGAAACTACGATACTAAATCCACTGCCAGCACTTTTATCGAGCACAGCAACATTTTTTAAACCACGACCCGTAACGACGCGTTCACCATTCTTAACCACCTGGACAACCTGCTTCGCAGAATGTATGAGAAGCTTATAGCATTCCTCCGACGCCATGTCTGCTACTTCAAATGTGTGACTAGCATCTGATGCAGATTTTGCCGTCAATACATCTTATCTGTGAACTTGCAGCTAAGATAAGATTAAACATTTCTGGAGCTGACTGTGTTTGGAAGATGAAAGATTATACATTTACTATCATTACTGGAATCCTGAAATTCAAAGCACATCTACTTTTGGAATTAAGGCTTTTATTTCTTTATATTTGTACTAATCATACTTATTATTTTTGCTTTCAAAAGATGCTTAAACGTAAACGGGGGGGGGGAAGAAGGTACAAGGAAGAATAATGTGTGATACATACTTACGTATATATATTTTTGGCATATTAATTTAAACGTCAGCGTTCCTGGATTTTATTTTGTAGTCCAAAGGTGCAATTTGCCCAAAAGATATTTGGCATTTTGCGTTGGTTCACTATAAGTGATGGTTCACTTTTCAGATTGTTGCCACCAAATATTATCGCCCTGTATTATATTTAAAGAAGCTAAATAATGAAGAATCTGCAAAAATGTATGTATGTTTCTCGCACTGTGATAAAACCAAAGTACCTAGAGCCATCAAATTTTGAATAACGTAATCCTCCTGCGAATATGGGCATCTGGAAGCCCAAATTTGAAATTTAGAATTTGTTTTATTATTGATTTCATATTTTGTAAAACTTTAACAAATTTTTGATTAACAAACTCAAGGACTTCAAAGCGATCAATGGCAATGTTGTACAGAAAAACATTTTTTTATCTCCAGCGCGCGAGACTGTGAATCGGAAATTCTAAAGATATGCTCATTTTAAAGTTATTTTGCGATATTGCTCTTGAACTGAATTTTATGGTTTAAGTGCGAAGAATATGATATTTAATAAATAAAGGTAACACACAAAATGTTAAAAAAAAAGCCCCTTTTGGGCGTAATTTAAAATCTGAAACCTTTCAGATTTTTTTTTTTTTTTTTAATGTTTAAATTGATGTACAACTTTAGGATATTTGGCTTATGGGTTATAAGTTTTGAATACAATACAAAATATGAGCAATAAAATATTAATGTGACTTTTTTTTTTTTTTTTTTTTTTTTTAGTATTCCTATTTTTTGCCAAATTTCATCATTGCAATATTTTTCCATTGGGGCTGATCAGTGACTAAGCTGTTTCACATATCGCAACAGCGTTATTCACGTGCATTACCCAAGCCACGGCTTCTGGCTGAAGTTTTTTTTTAAAAAACAAATTCAAATAATCACTTTGCTTTTTTTAAAAATACAAGAAACCTAAAAACTTCATTGCATTTGGAAAGGTAATGTGTATTATTATTATTATGAATGGTAAAACTGAATATTATGATTGGTAAAACTGAATCAATCGACCACGTTCACTTAACGCACTATATATACTTGAGATTTTCTCTTCTTATCGTATAACTCCCCGGGCAGGTGCGTACCGAGGAGGGCGGACGGCCCAGGTTCTTAGATGGGGGGGGGGGGTTCCGAAGATGTTTTTAAGTAAAAGGACGAAGCTAAAATGTGGTCTGCATTGAAAATATTATTGTGACATTGAAAGTTTATTGTGGAAATGGACTTCCAAGATCCTAAACTTATATTTGGCACTTTTTTGACAGCATGTGGTTTCAGTTGCTTGAGACAGAAGCTTGTCAGAGTCGAAATTGATTAAAAGGTATCTTCGATTAAAATGAGGGAAGTAAGATTAAACGGTTTGGCAGTCTTTTCCATTGGGAATACAGTAGTTAAGAAAAATTAATTTTGATGAAATTATAGAAAATTTTACAGGACAGGACAGGAAAAAGTGCAGGGGGCACCACGACATCGTCATAGACAAAAATGGTATTGCCCCACTGCACTAACCTTTTCTGGCATTTATTTAGACAAAAGATTACATTTCAAGTCATTACATTACGCAGTTGACATAATAAATTACATTAAAGTAACAAGTTATTTACATAGGAAGAACAATTATACAGATAAACTGGAGTACAGGTAATTGAGGTACAGATATATTGGTATGCAGGAATCAATATGGAGATAACATGTTACAATTATTTAGGTGTTGCAGTTTGACATTTGTTGGTGTGTTTGGAGGAATGCCTTAGCATTTGGGAAGATGGATGTGATGGGAGTTATAATGCTGTGTTATTTTTGTGTTGGTGGTATCGTTGTGTGCACAGATTTTCCAGAGTTTGCTTTGCACAGAGTTCATTGTGCATAGAGTTCAATGTGCACAGAAATGTGCGCAGCAGCGTGGAGAGCACTTTGTATAATGAGCATCAGATAATAGTGTAAAGTTCAAAGTACTGCGCTTTGGAAGTTTGAAGGCACTGGTAGTTGATAATCATCACTCACATAAATAATGATGACTTAGGATAGGAGCACTCCCTGTTGAATATCATATTTGAATCATATGAGTACCTTAGATTGTTTCCATGGAAAGTTAAATCGTGAAACTGCAGATTAGGTGTCGTTCTTCAGTGGAGGTGAGCAAAAACAGTCATGATTCTTTGGACAGCCGTGTGGTGGCACTTCGATAGCTAGGTATTCATCATTACGTCCGTTTTGTTATTTATGAGTGGCATAGTTCTCTACCTTGTTGTTGTAGCTTGTCTATGATTAGTTTAATGTTTTTGTAGGTGTGTTGATGGTTGTTGATTAGGAATCTTTCAAATTCCATTCCCATTTGAGTAGGGTGTTTGACGTGTAGGTTGGTGTTTAGTGGGCAATAAAAGATATAATGGTCAGGGTCGCCTCTTTCCCCACATATACACAAATCAGTTGAAGTAAAATTTCTTTCCAAGAAATATGTAGCGAAAGGGCCATGACCTGAGATATATTGTGTCAAGAAATAGTTGGATACTGTGCGTGTTTCGTCTACCTTAGGTATAAAGCTGCAGGTACGTTGTCCTGTTGTACCATTTTCCCAGTCTTGCTGCCATGTCTCAGTTGCAAATTGTTTGAGCTTTGATTTTAATGCCGATTGTGGCCAGGGGATGTTTATACTGTCACCGACTTGATCAAGTGCTGCCTGTTTTGCAAGGAAGTCCGCCCTCTCATTACCTTCGCAATTATTATGGCCTCTGGTCTATGAGAGAATGAACTGCTTATTACTTGTCCTTATGGTCTTCTGGATGTCCTGTGCTATTGGTGAGTTGGTGTAGAAGCTTTGAATAGCTTGCATAGATGACTGACTGTCTGTCACGATATGAATGGTGTCTGTTGGGTCTCGTAGCAGGTGGTTGATGGCGAGGCGAATAGCGGTTAATTCGGCCTGGTAGACACTGTTATTTGATCTCAGGTGCCCCTGCCATTCCGAGTGAACTTGTGCTGGTGCTGATTGAGGTGTGCTGGTGTTGATGCAGATTGTTGCTGCACAGCCCACTTTATTGTCAATTTTGGATCCATCTTGTGAAAGCTGTTATATTGGTGTTAGGAGGAGGTTGGTTGAAGTTGCAGTGGAGGTTATGGAGTTTGAAGGCTGGATGTGTGGTATTTTTGGGGTTTTTCTTCATATTCATCAGGGTGGAACATGGTATCTGCGAATTTTGCTAATTTTCTTAGCCGTAATACTACTGTCGAGATTCCTTCTACTTGAGTTTCTATTGGTAGGGGAATAACTCCGGCGAGTGTTTGCAGGTCGATTGTTGAAGTTGTGACATATGCTCTTGTTATGTTGAGTAGGAATGGTCGCTGAATTCAATTTAATAATCTTCTTTTACGCTCTGTCATTGGAAATGCCCATATTGCTGCTGCATAGGTGATGATTTTGTTGATTACAGTTTTGAGTAATATTTTCATGATTTTGAAATTTTACAGACGTCAAAGCTCGGGAAAAAAAGTTGTAGCATTTTTTTATCAACTGAAAAGCTAAGAACACTTTTTTTAAATCATAAAAAATGGCAGTTTAACAGGCCTTTTTTTAATATATGTTTGTCCTTCATGCAAGATGTAAGATGTTTACGCTTCAGTCTTAAGTTTTTCAATTTAACTATTTAATTTTAATTGAATAAAATGTTGATTATATATTTGTGTTGACTTTATATGGTGATCATTCCAATAAGGAAAGCTCCAGGAAGATTCTGCTCCTGACGTCGATAGCTGTAGGTCTGCCCATGCCCCCCAGGATGAGGGTGGGAGAGAAGCCTATAGTATTTAACGTTTCGAATGAAACGCAATGTTTATTCAAAGGAATTTCATAGCATTGGAAACGATTTTTCCTATCAAACTTATAAAATGAAGCAATATTTTGTGGCAACACATATCTGTACAAAATGCAGTTTCACATTTGCAGAACGTGTAAATATTTGTGAATGATAATTATAAAAAAAAAAAATTCTAATACAAAACTAACACATTAACTTAAATTGGAAGCGATTTATTTATTTCAAAAGTATTAGCTCTTTGTTTCATAAAAATGTACATTTCTTTTATGTAAAACTCCCTTAATATATCCGGATTTCTTTATTGAATTTAAAATTATTGACGTTTTTAGCATTTAACTGCAGCAGTGGGATTTTGAGGCAGAATATTCATAATGGCCTCTTTTTTTTTTTTTTTTTTAAACCAGTCTTTTTAAGACACGAGATTTAGAAAAGTAAATATTACATGAAATAGGCAATGATCTTGTAATCATACATATAATATACGTGTATTATATTCTAGGAGCAAACTAAAAAAAATTCTATTTCACGGGTATACTTTTATTTTAAATTCTTCTTTTCCACTGAATGTGCATTTGTAAAAATTAACGCATCTTTCGATTCTGTACATTACGTATTTTAACTCTGAAGTTAGCTTCAGCTCATTCTTGTGACGAACAACACAAGATGAATATTAACATAATCTTTGAATTCTTCCGTTATTGGTTTGCATCTTGTATTTGATTAGTATTTAATTTTCGGCTGCAATTAAATCTTTTAATACAGCTTACAACTGCTTCAAATCGATAGAATTCGCACGATACTAATCACAGGGATTAACTTTCTCTTTCATAAAATTTCATCGGCTGTCATTTGTG